GAGGTAGGTCAATAGTCTACCAGATCCTGCCCCCAGAAGCTTCCTGGGAAAGAAGAAATGATCCCCTCCTCCCCTTGCCGCTCCCACACACATACCGGCCACTCTACCTACTTGGGGCACAAGTCAGGTGGGACAATAATACTGTGTAGCTCAACAATTTTCATCTTGTACATTTCTCATCCATTGATCCGTTTGGTCCTGATACGAGTCCTCTGAAGAAGTAATACCCTTCTGGTTCCACAGGCAAGGAAACTGAAGCCCCCAGAGGTGAGGTAGGGTCTGCAGGGTCAGAAGAAGAGGTAGACACTCGGCTTGTGGCCTGCATTATAAATTTCAAGACTAGGTCACTTTACAGTTAGCCACCTTGCCTTCGCAGGGCTCAGGCCTCTGGAGTTACCTGGATTTTGTATTTCCTTTCCTCCTGACTCAGCACATGGGGAGGTGATGGAGGATTGTAGGAAAGCTAACCTTTGGGGGAGGGAGATCAGTAGAGGACCAGAGGAGGATGGGTGGGAGGAAGAAACCAAAGAGAAAAGCCAGTTGACTTCAGAATTGTTCCTGGGGCCCACTGAGACTCAGAACTAGCTGGGAAGTGTCTTCTACCTGTTCAGGGCCCTAGAGAGAAAGATACATTACAGATGTTCCCTAGAAGGCTTGGGAGAAACACCTCCTTCCTCCCCAAGGCAGGGGATCCTACCCAGTTGCCTTGGTAGTGGCCACATTATGAGGTGGTTCTGGTGATAGGCAGTGGGGTTGGGGTGAGAGGAGACAGAGGTGGTGGGGGCAGTGGCAGTGTTCTGAGCTGTGCCTGGGGCCTTCTGCCACCCCCACCATCATGGGAAGTGCTTACCACTGGGAGGCCCGCCGCCGGCAGATGGCTTTGGATCGGAGGAGGTGGCTGATGGCCCAGCAAGAGCAGCAGCAACAGCAAGAGCAGGTGCATGAGAGGGGCCAGGTTCATTGGGATCCTTCCAGGGCCAGGAAGGGAATGGGGAGGGAAGACAGACCCCTAGGAAGCTATTATCTGGTGAATGTTGTTTTGCTGGGGGTAGGAGGAAAGCAATGTCCTTTGACCTTCTCTTGGATGGACTGTGCATGTATTGGGGTGACTCAGCTTTGCTGTTGTGCTAGGTTGAGACTTACTGAGGGGACTCAGTCCTGGGAGATTTTAAAGCTGCACTGTCCAATAGGGTGGCCACCAGCCTGTGCGCTATCAAGCCCTTGAAATGTGGCCAGTGAGACTGAGGAACTGAATTTAAGATTTTATATACACTTAATTCATTTAAATGTAAAATTTAAAACTAATACTGTTTATATATTGGAAAACTATATTTGGAACAACTTAAACATGTCAATCTACTTTTTCAATTGTAATTTTATAAATCTGAATCTGATTATTTTTGCTGAAAATGTAGTGTCCAGAATAAGATGTGCTGTTAAGTGTAAAACGCATGTTGGGTTTTGAGGACTTAGTAAAAAACAAAGAATATAATGTAAGATTTTCATATTGATTACATGTTTTGGATATATTGGATTAAATAAAATGTATTATTAAAATTAGTTTCACCTGATTCTTCTTACTCTTTATGTGGGTACTAGAAAATTTAAAATTACACGTGACATGCATTTTATTTCTATTGGACAGTGCTGTTTCAAAGCACTTGCGAGAAACTATTCTTTATCTTTCTGTACTGCGAATTGTTTCAGTGCAAAAACTCCCAAGCTAGGAGGTAGTTGCTCAGAGACTTCTGTTTCCTGGGCAGGGGCTGAGCCAGAGGGCTCTGTCACCAGAGAAACAGCCCTTGGATGTTGTGGTGTGTGAAGGGACATAGTCCTCTCTCTCTAACCTCCCCCTCCAACTCCAGGGAACAGAGAGACCCTCTAGCCATTTCAACCTATGGATTCATTTGTGGTATCTGGCAGATGAATAACTGGGTGGGAGGGAGGAGGATGTCACTTGCCCGGGGCCTCTTGCCAGGAACTGAAGAGACTCAAAAGGGAGGAATACCAAAGTGGGAAAAAAACCCAGTCTTCTCAGGGGTCACAGCAGGAGCCACAGTCATCAGTGATGCAATCACAGCTGCCCCCAGCACGAGAACTGCCGCCCCCAGCACGAGAAGAGCCGCCCCCGGCACAACCACAGCCACCCCTGTTGAAGCTAGCAGAGCTGCCACAGGCGCAGGCGCAGGCGCAGCCACTGCAGCCACAAGCCCCACCACCGCCACCACAGCCGCCACCTCAGCCAAGGCAACAAAATGCCCAAGACCCTCTTACTCGATACACCTGCAAGCACAATCTCCAGGATTCCCAGAAACCTGGTCCCCAGCTTGGCTCAGTGGGGACTCATCGAGATGAAAGTCACTGTAACTACTTTGACGACGAATTCCAAAGAGGGTCGAAAATCCCTCAAGACACTGGTAAGTGAGAGGCCTGGGAAGGGGAGGTGTTCAAGGAGAGAGCCCCGTGCTTTCATCCCAGCCCTATAGTCCAGAATCTATATCACCACCCCCTTTCTGCCTCTCCCTAGCACCCTTGGCCTTTACTTGGGGGCTACTCTCTTTGAGCCTGTTTGCAACCTAGAGCTGCAAAGAAGGCTGCACACTTCTGCAGGGAATGGCTGAGAAGTTGTCAGCCCTTCCTCTAGGGAAGGGGTCCCCAAACCCCTGGGCCACAGGCTAGTACCGGGTCCGTGGCCTGTTAGAAACCGGGCCACACAGCAGGAGATGAGCGGTGGGTGGGTGAGCGAGCAAAGCTTCTTCTGTATTTAGCATCACTGCTTCAGCTCCACTTCAAATCATCAGGCATTAGATTCTCATAGGAGCACCGGTCACTGGCGCCAAAAAGGTTGGAGACCACTGCTCTAGGGCAAGGGTGACAGAGGGGATGAGGGTGGTCAGAGGGTTGGGTATGAACTTAACAACAGATATACCGAGACCTGTGAAGCCTGGAACAGGGAGTCACAATGCAGCTTCCTAGTTGAGAGTTTTCAAGGTGGGCTCGGTCTGTGCAGTGCCCAGGTAGGGCCCTCCACCTGTTCCCCAGTCACATAGTTAACGGTCCAGCTCTGACCTGTTCCAGTCTCAGAAACTGCAAAATGAGTAACATGTGCTTTGTTTCATCACCAGGTTTCAGGAAATCAGACCAAGGTAGCCCAGATAAATACACCAAGTACAAACGATTCACGGTGAGACAGTGTGAAGGCTGATTCTGGCTGCGTGTCTGTGAGTGTGTGCTTATGTGTGAGTGCGTGTGGAGTCTAGAGAGGCTTCCTTGGCAGGAGTGGGGGAAGGGGCCCATTCCTCCATTCCTTGCCCCCTAAAAATGTCTACGTAGGACCTGTTGCTCAGCACTAAGCATAAGTAGAAAGGTTAACAATCTTTTTTTGGAAAGATAGGACAGGTGCCAGAGAAGCAAAATAAAGGGGTGTTTCAAGTGCTGATTGGGGTAGAGCTGGAGCACGAGGAAGGCAAGACCTGAAGTCAGAGGTCGTTGGTCTCAATCAGGATCACCGCTCCCTGGCAGCGTGATTTAATCCCTGAGGCTCAGCTGCCTCATCCATAACATGAGAATAATGCCACCTCCTTAATAGAGATATCATGAGGGCTGTTTGTGGCAATTACAAGAGAAGGCATCGAAAACACTTAGCTTAGAGCTGGGCTCATTCCTAGCCCTATTAGGATGAGGACTGGGCTCTGACATTTCACTTTGATTCCTCTGGCCTCAAAAGGCTTAATAAAATGTTCTGAAACCAGCAGGCCCAGAAACCGCTACCTAACCTGTTTTGCCTCCTGTCTTTCCCTCTTCTCAGTCAAAGAATTACATACAGCAGTGGTGATCCAGAGATAGACCCCCCAAGACCCTACTGGCCATCAGTAAAAAACAGATGAGCAAGCCCACCTTCTCTCCACCCAGCAACATCTCCACTCCAAAAACCACCCTCTCCTGATCCACTCTAGAAGAAGAGGCTAGCCAGGAATAAAATGTGATTTCTTCCTGGAAAGAAGTGAGACTGGTCAGCTCTGTGAGACTGGAACGAGGGGAAGGAGGCAGGAAGACCCATGAAGGCGTTGGCGAGGGTGGGAGAAGAAAGTGAAAGTCCCTGCTTCTCTAGGCCAATGGGAGGACTTGGCCTTGGACACTCAAGTCTACAGCTTCACTGCTTGCCGTTTTAGCAATAATAGTTCTGTCGGGGGCTTCAGGTTTATGGCACTCACAGGAGCCATCATCCCTTCCTCCTAGCCCATGCTTACTGAGATTCAGCTGGGGACAGAGGGGTTGCCTCTCACCAGAGTAGGCCTGGGGCAGAAGTAGGAAGAGGTGGCAGGCAGGGACACCCCCCACTCCCAAGTCCAGTGTAATGCCTGGCCCACAGTGGGCACCCAACTGTTGAATGGATAATAGGAGACAGGAATGGAGAGAGAAAGCTCGGAGTAAAGGGCATATACAACCTCTCAGGCGCAGGACACCTGGCCCTGGGAAGAGGAGGGAGACTGGCCCACAAAAATCCACAGGCCTCTTCCTTCCTGGGTCTCAGCTGTTCCATGGAGCAGAGACAGCCAAGAGGCTCCAAAGGCCTGGGCATCCCCCTCACCATTTCCTGAAACTGACAACAGGGTCCCCCAGCCCGGCTGCCTCTGTCACCTGGGACTGGTGAGGATACCTGGGTCCTGTCGTTGTAGTCCCCACAACATCGCTTTGGGTCAGACTGAAGGCACCCCTTAGTGCAGTGATTCCCGAGGGAAGCATCGGGGCCAGGGCACGGAACAGGAATATTAAAATTGGAAGGGACCTTAGAGATATACAATGAGAGAAAGGGAGAGATCAAGCTCCTTGGGAGCCATCTCTCAGAATCCAGAAAGGCAAGACACGTTATCCAGGGGCTCAGCCTGGGGAAGAGAATTTGGCATGCACTCGGACATTAAGAAACAGGCTGTGAGACGGGACATGTCCACCAGCTCCCTCCCCACTCACAAGGAGACTTTTTCTTGTTTAAACTTTATTGACTGTAGTTTACTGAATACAATATAAATTCTTTACATTTGGTGACCTGTGCACAACACAAGCTCTAGCCTGAGCTTCCTGAACTTCTGAGCTCTTGCCAACACCACCTTGACCCCAATTACCCAGACATTAAAGTGTGGAGACAGCATAATCTTCCTTCCTCTTGTTCCCCAGCCAGCTAACCACCAGGTTCTGTCATCACTTTCCCCTCTCTATCCATCTTACTTCAAAATTCAGCTTTCCCCACCACCTAAGCTCATGTCTCTGCTTGTTGGAGTGATAAAAACCTTAGCCACCTTTAGTGAGCAAATACCATTCCCATTTGGCTGAAGAACAGAAACCGCCTCTATCTGGAGCCCAGTGGCACCTGGAATATCTGGGGCTTAGCTTCATCTAAGTGACAGCAAAGAGGTGAGGGTCTAGATCAGTCCTTACTTGATGTGCTGCTCCTGCTGTCAATGCCTGAAGGAAAGCAGAGGTCTCTGGGAGCAGAGGGTGGGCCCTGGTGCAGCAGAGTGCAGCAGCTTGGCTGGGTACTGACTGCTTCACATCTGCAGGCTTTCATGGGGAGAGCAGCTGGGCCCACTGTTTGACCTGCCTGTGTCCAATCGCATGAGCTCAGGGTTGTGGGCTCACCACCAGCCAGAAGCTCTCCTTCAATAAACATCCTTTAAAATGACTCTGGCTTAGTCTGTTTTTCCTGTGGAGGCCCGAAGGGTGCCTGGTGCCTCCCTCCTCTCCTCTATTACTTTAGCTTTGGCTGTAAAGAGAATACTAAAACTTCTATAGAGAGAAGCTTGAACTGGAGAACAACTCAGTCTTCCTAGGAACCAGGACGATCTTTAATTAGGAAGGATAGAGAGCCAAAGGGCCTTGGCCAATCCTGCTGGCAGATGGGCAAGGGGCGAGTTACCAGGAGAGAAGCAGACCATCATTTTGTCACACAAACAAAGCAAGGAGGCACAGGAGAATATCTATGTACCCAAAAAAGGCCACAGAGACAGCACTGTATGTCTTCCAAGTCGCTTTCCCATCACTGGGTGGAAAACTTGAAAAAGACTCATGTTTTTAAAGCCAGATAAAACTAAAGCTTTCTCCACATTCAAGCAGCCCTGAGAAGCTGGGCAACCAAAGCATTCAGAACAGACAGGGCAAGGTCCATTCCAGGGACTCAAGTACCTCCGAAGAAATGTCAAGTCAGACTTCCCTCAAGACAGACCAAGGGAAAAGCCTGCTACTAGAAGAGCCAGCCTTCCATTCCTGTGGAAATCAGGGGTGTGTGTGCGTGCGTGAATGTGTGTGAACTTCCACAGAAAGCTTCCTGTGCTAACGGTGTGTGTGAGTGCGTGTGTGGTACGGGTGGAGGGTATGATAAAAAGCAGTGATTTTCCTTTGGCGAAGTCACCATAGTCCTTCCTTGATCACCATGGAGTTGTGAGAGATAGAGACCAGGCTGGCAGGTGCCTGGAGTTTGAAGACAGCAGAGAGGTCACGGGGGGTGAGAGTCCAGCAAGTGGGCCCCTGACATGTTTCCCCGGCAGTCCACGTATTCGTAGCTCTGGAAGACAGCCTGCTCTGAATGGCTCAGGTAAGTATAGGTCAGGGTGCCCCTGGAAAGAAAGCAGGCTTTGTTATTAGGTCCAGGAGGAAGAGGGAAGCTTGGGCCCTGTTCTGCTCTCTGGGGAGGGTTGGCTCCCTCAGAATCCCCGCTCCTTTTGCTCCCCACTCTGCTAAGGCACCTGGGACTGCTGCCTCACCTGTGCTCCAGACAGCTCTGTGGCTGTCACACTAATCACTTATAAGCAAGGCGGGACCTAGAGAAGGAGCTGGACCTGCTACTCCCAAGAACAGATTCATGGGGTCAGTTTGAGGGACTCTGCTCCCACAAGGAGGAGCTGAGAAGAGACTGGAGTCAGCGGGAGAGGAGATACCAGGGCTCCAAGCTGTACTTACTGGATGTGCAAAAGCACATGGTGAACTTTGATTTTCAACCAGGTACAGATTTTGCTGAGAGAGAACAAACATGGGAACACATTTCACACTGAGAGGCCTGTCAGAAGGCTTAGAGACCTATAGGTCCCAGCATCCGCACCCCATGGGCCCCTGTCCATCAGGGGCCCCTCTTCCACTCCTTCTCTCTCCCTCTTCCTCTCCCTAAGGTATGTCACCCTTGCTGGAATATCAGTCTTCCAATCCCTACTGGCTTGGCCCAGGCACGTCCCTCGGCAGAAAACAAGACATTTATTCTTCTCAGCAATCCAAGCTGAGGAGCCCAAGGTCACATGTTGTAAGGATTAACCATATTCTAGCTTGTTTTTCACTCCAATCTATGTCCAAACAGGCAGAGGCTGGGACCCTGAACCTTTGCACATTTCAGTCTCAGCCATGAGTGCAGGCCAGATGCTGGTGGCAGGGTTTGCTAAGCAATCAGGAAATCTGGTGGGGATTAAAACTGGGTTTCTAACCAGGAAAGAGGCTGAGGGAGAAGAGATCAAGGGATACTCACTATGTGTTTTCATCCCAGATCTCGTTGGCTACTGCATAAACCATCTGTCAACCAAATGCGTATAGGGTTAGCCCCAACTCCAGCTGCCCGCTTCCCACCACTACACACATCCACACACCTGTGGGCAGAGCTGGCCAGGGAGAGGGAGTCACCTGTTTGCTGGCCAAAGGGCCGACGTGTAGGAGCAGGCTGTTGGAGACCTGCCCCACCACGAGAGACAGGTGCAGAACCTCGATGGTCAGCTGGGTCACAGTGATGGGGTAGTAGTTGCTATTGGAGATGTTCAAGATATTCTAGGGATGAAGACAAGGAAAGGGAAGGGGGAGGGTGGCCACCTTGGAAAAGAAATATCAAACAGTTTCAAAAACCCCCAGCCTCAGCTGCTGAGGACTAGTGCCAGGAGCCCCTCACAGGGGCTCTTAATGGTGAAGGGCTCACCTTTAACTAAAACACCAAGCTGGCTTAGGATCCAGTCTCGCCCTGCCCACCCAGGGAGTCTCAAGCATGCCACCCCTATTACACCCTGTGATTTACTTCTGGGGCCATGGCTTTGACCCCTCACTGTGAAGAGTCCTAACGCTACACAATTGGTTATGGGGCTCATGGCTGCTCCTGCTTTCCCCCAGGTTTCTGACATCCTCTGGGCACCATAAGATCCCTGGCTATCAACGCCCAGGGTCACAACACTCGATAAGGGCTATAGAGGAGTACTACTGGGCACAGGGGTACAGGCACCCACCTACCGTTACGTTGAGATGGATATCAGCCTTGTCAAAGGCCACGCTGGAGGAGTTGAGGCCTGCAGGCTGCACGGTGATAGACCGGGGAAACAGGAAAAAGACGGAGAGGGAGGAAATCACCAGACAGACAAGCACTGCCAGGAACACGGAGAGCTTCCTGTGGGAAAGCAGGACCCAAAGCAGGGGAGAAGTCTGAACACCAAGCACACTCAGGCAGGGGGTGTTCAGACACTCTTCTCCTCTGCACCCCACCTCACAACTGTACATTTAGCCTCCTGGATGTGGAGAACCAGCCTACACTCAGATGTGGCCCAGAGCAGGTAGGAGCATAGGACTGGGAGGTAGGCAGCCTGGCTTTCATTCCCTGTTCTCCATACCCACTGGCCCAGTAACTCTGAGCAACCCTAAGCCTCAGTTTTCTTGTAAAATGGAGATAACTGTACCTACCTCATAGTATTTGTTATGGGCTGATGCATGAAAAAGCACTAATCCCAGGTCCTGGCACATAGCTAAAGCTTAATAAATGCTAGCTATTACCACTGGAAAAAAGTCGGCCCATATGAAATTTGAGACTTCTGAGTTTTAATATTCAGAACAGGACATCATCTGTCCACCTAATTGAAAATTGAGATGGGCATTAAAGAGACAGCATCTTGTAAGTGGATCTGATGAGGGGTACTGTCAGATTCGGATTCTGGTGTAGCGGTGGGGAGGGCTGGGTGGTGGCTCCCAGGCTGAAGCTCAGGACCTTGGGAGGAGGTTGTAAGGATCCATGTGAAATGGACCCAGATGACAAACAGGGTCAGAGGCCCCCCAGTGAAACTCAGGGCTCCCTCTGAGGTACTGAAGTGCCTCAGTACAGGGAGCAGATAGTTTTCCATCTCTACTGGGACGAGAACAAGCAGGTCTGAACTGCCACAGCAAGGGAAGCTTGAAGGAAAAATAACTTGCAGCCAGGGCTACTCCCTCCCTCCTGAAAGGACTTGCGGAGTCAAGAGGTCCTCTCTGTCTTCAAAAGGGAACCATGCTTATTGGAGGCAGTGATGCTCAGGCCACACTATGTGGCCTCAGGTAGCTATGCCCCAGGTTTCTTAAACCAGGAAAATTCTCAGAAAACGGGGCTTGTACATCTGAGCCCAGTGAGGCTCAGGCTTTCTAGAGGAGAACCAATGGAGAAAACTTGGTGGGGGCAGAGAGAGGCAAAACAAGGGAGACAAAGAGGAACAGCCCCCAGGAGCGATGGCCTGTGGACCTGGGGTAGGAAGAGGGGCTTACGTGTGTCTGGGCTTCAGCCTCTGGTCCCCATAGGGAATGAGAGCCACCAGCTGCTTCTCTAGCTCTGTAAAGAGAAAGAAGTGAGAGGAAGGGCCAAGAAGTGTCCATGACAAATGTTTTCTGTGCCAGCCTGCCAGAAGTAGCCCTCCACCCCACAGAGCTATGTCAGAAGCATGCTGCCTTTGCCCCAGAGCAGGTCTGGGAGCACTGGTCTATGCTATTGAAGTTGGCAGCTCAGCTTTGACATCTCTAGAATGGAAGTGAGATTTTCATCAACAGATGTGAAGAATCAACAAATGTGAAGAATCAACAGATGTGATGCTACAAATCCCCAGCAAATCAGAGCCTAACTTCTTTGGAGAAGTTATTTGTAATTTCCTGAATCCTAAGGCACAGTGTTGCTAAGGGAGCGGAGAGACTGGAAATCCCCTGGTGCTGGAGAGTACAACCAGGGCAGGAGGGGTTAGCATCTCCCTGGCCAGCCCGAAACTGGGGGACCAAGAGCTGGGAGACCCACCCCATTTAAAGAGACTCAGAGGGGCCTGGCCCTGGGCCAGCTGGCTGCTAAGAGTTTCTCCGGGATTCAGGCTATTTCCAGAGCCCTGGGCCACTCACCTTGAGGAATCTCCCCGCTGCCCTGGCAGGTGAGACAAGTCACAAAGCTGGCACCAGCAGCCCTTTCACAAGGTGCACAGGAAGAAAAAGACTTGCTATTACTGTTGCTGGCATAGCTGGCAGCCTTGCTGCCAGTGGCGGGGTCGGTGGGCAGGATTGACTTGTTTTCATCCTCCTGAGAGCCCAGCTGGGAGAATGTCTCACCCATCGTTCAGGGGGCTTTTTCACTGACAAAAGAACAAAGTTCAGTGCTAAGCTTGTTAGCACTGATGCTGAATGCACTCTGATTTTAGATTTTCAAGACTGGCAAGGAGTCCCACCACAATTTCAGCAAGTTCAAGCCTAAGGAAGCTAGGGTATGGAAAATCGAGCGGTTACACAGGACTCTTGGGTCAGAAATCGCGATGCATTTCAACTCCTTTCATTATTGTAGGAGAGCTCAATCTGCTTACGAGAGAGAAGAGAAAAGCAGAAGTTATTTCACTTCACTTGAGGGACTTCCATGAGTGAATGGCAGAGCAGGGTTTTTTTCTGGAAAAGTTGCTGAGCAGTCACTTACTTCAAGGAAGCTGTGTAGGGCGAGGCAGGAGCCAATAGAGCCCTTTCTTCCTCTGCAACAACTCTGCAGGGGTCTTTAGAAATACCTGAGGTCTCCCAGCCCAGGTGTGGAAGGCAAGCTTCCATTCCTGAGCCCCGGCAGGTGCAGGCTTTAATAGGAAGGCAGGGATTCTTTGAAACAAGAAAAAAGGAGGCTAGGCTGATTACAGGTGAGGCCAAGAACCTTAAAATAATCCTGGGAGCATAAACCTCTTCCTTACTGCTTTCTGAGGTGAGTTAGGAAAAAATGCCTGGGGTATGGTTGTAGCAATGTCAAGGTCTGTCCTTCACTAGGAAGACCAAGGCTGAACTCCAGCTTCTTGCCCCTAAACTCGAATGGTGGCAGAATGAGTGGGCAAGTTGAGCCACAGTCAGACCCTCCTGGGCTGAAATAAAGGGAGCCTCACCTGGTTCAGGTCTGGGATCTGGGGCTCCTCTCAGCTGCGAGAGCAGAGATTTGGGAGTGCATCTATGAGGAGGGCCGCGGGCTGGGGCCGGCCAGGGCAACCGGCCCTTTAGCAGAGTTCTGGGGGACAAATATGTCGCGTTGGAAGAAGTGGGGGAGCGGCGACCCTGGCCTCCACGGAAGGCCAAGCTGCTTCCGGCCCTCCTCCGGGTCAAGACCATGGGCCGGGGTGGGGGGTGGGAGGTGGGAGCAGACGGGAGAGGTCGGAAATTCAACCCACCAAACATCCCGACAGGCAGTTAGTGGAGCTTGGTAGCCGCGTATGCTTGTGTGTTGGGCTAGGAGACACTGAAGGTGCCTTAGCCCTTGCCTCCCAAAGGGAAAGAAGGGTTCCGGGACAGCCTTACCCCCAGGTGACGGCGACAGAAACGGCTGCAAGAGTAATCGGAAGTGCTGGAGCCAGGGTATTGGCCCCGAACTTTGACTCGGTGCCTTGGGAAGCTCCGCCCCAGCTTCTCCGGCCCCACCCTCGCTCTCCCAAGGGCCCGCCCCTCTAGACATCGGGGGCCAGACGTTCGCGGTTCTTCAAGACTCCCAGACGCCCGACGAGGCTTAAGCAAGGACCAGCCAATCCAGGCAGGAGTTTCAAAGAACCTTTATTTTACCATTCTTTCAGCGGTTATGTACAAGTACAACGGGACGGACGACCGGAGCCCAGGGCCCTCCTGGACCCCTACAATATGACTTAGATGGTCAAGACAGGTCGCGTCCGACATCAACCCAATTAATTACACACATCCAGCCGCTCAGCCTCTACCCAGAAGCCCAGATAAAAACGTTTTAAATAATGAACAGCCTGGTTGTCTTGTACTGTGACTCCTGGCTTAATAGCATTTGAGAGTTATACTGTAAATAAACATCATTATGGCTAATGAGTACTTAAAATCATTCATTATAAATACCAACTGGGTTAAATAATACTATTTTGCTATCCTTCCCCCTTCGAGCTGGGGGTCAGATTCTTTTTCTGGAAGTCATTTTCATGAACATATTTTAGTGTTTTTTGTAACCTCTTCAATTGTACCCAAATTCCCTTCTGTAAACAAAGCGAGGACATGCACCCCTGGAAGCAAGCTCTCCCCAACTCATTCTGGGGTTAAACCAATATTTTTTTAGTGTTTGCCCCCATCCAAGTTTTGCAAAACACCAGCCTCTTCTTCCTGTTCTAGACTCTAGGGCTAGATAGCCCAGAAGAGACTTCAGACATGTAGAAAGCCATCATGCTTTCCCGTGCCTCACTACACTCAACTGCCCATCCCTGAACTTTCCTGAGATTAACACAGGAGCCTGCCTTTCACTTGTCTCATGTTTCTATTTCCCCCCACCCTACTGTAAATAAGATCTGCCCCGACATAAGAAAAAAGGTAACTGTTAAATTTACTTTTCCCTTTAAGAGTTTTCCTTCTCTACAAGATTAGCAAAATATCTCACTACCTAAAATTTTTCCCTTAAATAGAAGAAAAATGGATGCAAAATTACTACAGTAGACACTGCTAAATAGGTGCTGGTGGTCTAATTAGCACACTCCCCCTTCCTTTCACCTAAGTGCAGAGACCCAGAAGCTAGATATTCTTAAATGCATGAATGGGCTCCTCAGAAAACAGCAGTGCCAATTACTAAGTATTGCAGGGAAATGATTTTCTCCTTGAGAAAGGAAGAACAACAACATTCCTATCATGCTCTGGGTGCCATTTCAATACCACCTTGCTACGAGGCTTGGGGTAGGGTAGAGAAATTATATGAGAGTTAATTCTTGAAAACAGCTTTCAGGGTTAATTTCTTTTAAAAACTGACAACACACAACCCAATAAAAATATCCACATTAACCCAGAAAAATACTCAACTTCAATTCAAGCAGAAAGAAAAAAGGCTGTATAGGAAGTTCAAGTTATACTCTTCAATGCACTAAAATGGAGAAAGGAATTTTATCCATATCAACTGAAAAGTTGTCTTCCTACTACTCATCCAATGTCTAAAGTGAAAATTTACGTTCTGGTCTTTGATTTGCTCCAAAAAATACTGTAATACAGCTATTGTCTTGACAATTCAGTGATGAGCTCTATACAGATTCATCAGATTAAAAGGTAAGCAAGGGCATCTATCTCGCACCCCAATGACAGAATAAAGATCATCTCTGAGCAGCAAAGTTATTTAATACACATGGTCACTCCTCAATAGCGGTGGCTGTACCAGTCATTGTTGTTGATGTGAAGGAGTTCTGTCACAACCCGCAGGATGTTGTAATTGTGTTTCTTCAACAGCCTCAGGTTCAGCTGCCTGTCACAGAATCCCATTTCAAAGAGATGGGCCATCAGGGCTGCTGTCTGATCTTCAGAAACTATTGGCTGTGTAGAGTCAAGAAAAGCAAAACATTCTCTATATAATTTACATGTTTATCTTGTAAATTATTCAAAATATTAGGCAGTTAGATGTAAGGGTACAGCACTCCTGTCCACCTGATAGTAACGGGTCATCTGAGGGGAAGACAAAGAAGGCTGTTTTGGATTAAGTATGGTTTGTACCTAAAACCTGGCAACTGATGAATTGTCCTTAGAACTATAAGAATGCTTTAGAGGGGACTTTCAGAAGCATTCTTTGGCCAGATGAAGAAAGCTGAAAACAAGCTCTGCAAATCCTATGAAGATAAAAGCACTCATGATGATGGAGCAAGTATAAGCAAGAGAAGAGACTGTTACTGAAAGTTAGCAATGGATATTCAGTCAGATATGCAAAGGAGCTGGACAAAAAAACTGCTTGGAAAATTATATCCTGGGAGACCTTCTTAGAATTTTTTTTTTTTTTAAAGAATAAAAGTGATTCTGGGAAGAGGGAGCTGACATTCTCTTACCTTCCTCTTTGGGCCAAGCCTTTTGGTGGACACATAACCTACCTAAATCCTAACACCTGGAATACCCTAAGTCTTACCATTTACTTACTGTGTCGAGTATCAATTCCCTTATTTATGAAAATGGAGACAGAGAATACCTCCTATTTTGCAGGACTGTTGTGAGGATTAAGATGAGAGAATGTAGGTAATGTTCTGAGCACAGTCTGGCATTTCCCTCTACACCTCTCTCTTATTTCAGAATAAATTATCCATCCTTCTTTCCCCATGCACTTTGCTCTATAACTCATTACTTCTTGCCACCTCAGATATTTCTATTATCCTCTCTCACCTTGATTGTTAATCTCCTTTGCTACTGGCTCACCCATCTTTAAATGTCTCTTTCTGCCTTATGTATCCCTAGCTTTCACTCTTTTTTCCCTTTGTATCCAGCTATTTCAACCTGAGACATACTTGGACCCTCAAAGTCCTCTCCACCCATTCGCACTTCTCTGAAGCATCTGATGTTGTTGGCCATGTCCTCATTTAAAATTCCCTTCAATAAGCTCCAGCACAGAGCTCATTTGCCTCCAAGTTCTCAGTCTTCTTTGCAGGGCTTTCCTTCTTTCCATGCATGATCCTTAAAGGCTGCTTCTTGCTTTATCCATTCTTCCTGGAAAAATCCATCCAGTCACATGGCTTCTGATATAGCCTGTACATAAGTGACTTCATCTCCATGCCAAATCTCTTGCATAATCCAGAAATACATATCCAGCTGCACTCTAGATAACTTTACCTAGATGTGCCTCAAATTCAACACTATCCCAAACTGATCTAATTTTCTTCTCCTCCTGCCCAAACATATCCTTCTTCCTGAATATCTTCTTAATGAATGCTACTATTGTTTGCCTAAGCCAGAAACTTGGGATTTATCCTTGACTTCCTTCTGGCCATTTAATCATGGTTTCCAAGTTCTGCCATTTCTCTCTCTTTATTTTTCTCTCCTACCCTTCTTTTCCACCTATACATGGATTCTCAAGTGGATTTCTTTATCAGGTCCACCAGCCTTCTACGAACAAATCTGATGTTAATTATTCCCCTAAAACTCTTCAATGGCTCCTCCCACTAGCTGTAAAATAAAATCCAAACCACTTAACAGCATTCTGCTGTTCAGATCTTTCCTTGCTCTTCTCAGCCCAAATTCATCTTTCAGACTCACATTTCCAAGTCTATTTACTGGCTACTCTGTCTACAATGCCCTTTCTATCCCTTTTTCCTGGCAAACACTTATTTTGTCCTTAAGAACTTAGTTCAGGTATCATCTACCAGGAAGTCTTTCCTGGCCCCACCCAGGGGCCCACACCAGGCTGAGGTGTTTCATCTGTCAAAAATACGGGCACGGGATCTTATACTCTACTATACATGTCTGTTTACCGGGCTTGTTTCACACTTGTCTATAGGCAAGGACTAGTGTCTTACTCATCTGGCAGTGCTGGCACCTGGATAGCTCCCCACACATAGCAGGTCCTCAACAAACATTAGGTCTTTTTCCTTTCCTCCCTTAAGAAACTTGGCCAAAGTCATACAGCTAGAAAGTGGTGCAGTCATGTGTTAATGAAAAACTAAACCTAAAGTTTATACTTTCTATTATGCCAAGCTACTCTCAAAGCCAGAGAGATGCCATCATTTTCACTGATGACTTGTCCAGGATTTGGTTCAGGAAAACGATACACTGACCTGTGCAGTGACTGGTGGCCCAGCAAACAAGGCCTTGTATGCAGAGGCAGCGACAGACAAAGCCCCCTTCACCAGTCCTCCAGCAATGCTGCTCCCATGGTGGTGGTGTCTGTGGAGGAAAACCAAATTACCTCCCTAAAGAAACACAAACCATTATCTTCCTACAAGATAATCTAGGCTCTAATCCTTGAAAGAAAATGAGATTTCCTTGAGAAAAAAACTAGATGTAAAAAGAGAATGTAACTGTTTTCATCAGTTTTATAGCTACAAATCTTGGTTGATGTAGGGCCTGGCTTACTGCTGCAAGATATGGGCACTGCAAAAAACACACCACTCTGGTTCCCATGCCAAATTTCAGTCCCAGCTGAAAATCAATGTGGTCAAGGGCATAGTGGGGTGCTGGTAGTCTCTCTGCTCAATTATCATCTCAGAGGAAACACCTCCCAAAGGAAATATGATTTACTGGACACTGTAGGGAGGAGCCCACCTTGACAATGCTCATGAGATGACTGGGAACAGAGAGGCACGTGTGTCTAAGTAACTAAGATGCACAGCGGGCTTGACCTTCCTGCCTTCTCCTCTGGTACTAAGGGTGAGCTGAATTTGAGAGCACTCCTTTCTGATCTGGAATGTGAACACTCTTAAACATCAACTTTAGCCCTGTGTTCAGTGTTGCTCACAAGTTCTAGGAGAAATAAGAACAAGAAGGAATGACGGCTCTCCTCTGCTCTCTGGAATGGCACCTGCTCTGAGAGGCTTCTTTAAGCAGAAGCAACACAAGGATATCCACCTGCTTCTGAGGAAGAGGCTACACAAGGTCCAGTTACCTTGAGTGGTCATAGCTCTTCTGTCTGCTGTTTACAAGTCCTGATGAGCCTCTGGGCTCTAAAAGCAAAAGAGCTGTTGGTTAGATACAGCATCCACAAGTCCCTAGTGTTTCCTACCTCATGGCAAGGCTACTATTGAGGCAGGTGGCAATCTAATCAGTGTTTTATACAGTCTTTTTTATTAAATACTTGAAAAAAAGTTTAGGTAGGTTAAATAAAACTGTTCAGAAGGCAATGCAAGGCGACTTACTGAATCTGAAAAGTTAGTTCTATAATCCTATCATACGGATTTATTACTTTTTTAGTACTTTTAGGTTTTAAGGAAGAGTGCAAAGTTACTTTGAGGGTCTACTCACAACTTCAAGGTGCTCGACTCCTTATTTTGTAGATATGAAAATAGACCTGCAGGTATTATAAACCTCACATAGTGAGGAAACGTGGCTGGAACCTAGACTGATCTGCCTCCAAAGCCTGTGTTCTTTCCACTACAACATAATGCCAACCTCCATGAGGTCTCATTTAATAAATATGAAGCCAGAAAATAGGAAAAAGAAGTATGAGAGAGAAGCACAGAAAGGGTGAAAGGGCAAGTTCCTAAAAATGTCCAAGAATCACAAAGAATGCCTGGGTTTCCATTAGAAAGGAGCATAGGAAAAGAGAGAAAGCTCAGGCTGGTCATTACCTCCTCTGATCTGATCAGGGATTGAAGAAACTTCTCGTATGGTAACTGGTAAATCCATTCCTGGGGAGCCATGACGCTGTGCACAAGGAGGGCTCCTTCAGAAAGACACAATATTCAAAGTAAGTTGAAAAGGCACCTCTGGTAACAGTGAGGAGACAGTAAACAGCACGGCAGTGCCAAATTCTTTACAGAGGCTTCACACTTCTGATCTAGATCACGTCTGAAATTAGGGATCAGGTGAGAAGGGCTCTTTTTCCTTTTGGTTTCCCTCTTCAGCCAGTTAAGCTAGAAAAACTGGCTTCAGTCTAGTCACTTCTCCCCCACATCAAGTGGTGCTGACAAAGGGAAATGTCTAGTTCCCTAGGAGAATGGTTTAAATTATAGTCAAGGTTCCACCATTTTCCATACTGAGAGCAGTGACACATAGCCAGTAGAGAATTAAAAATAACTTCTATCTGGTTTTATAGCATGCTTTTTCCATATCAGATTAAACTTCCTAATTATACTTTGTTTGAATTATATGAGAATGAGTTTCTGCTGCCTTTGCCCATGAGTCCAGGGAAGGTCCAGGGACGTTTGTGTTTAAAAACTGGCTCTCAACAATCAAACCATAAGTAGATAGATGATATTTAGATAATCAGGGTTAACTAAAACAAGCATTTCTTTTGAATCCAGAATCCACAAATACTGGGAAGTACAACTTTTATTCATCTAAATTCAGACTTTACTATGGGAAATAGTCTTTCCATGCTGACAAAAAAACAGGTTTTGAGATCAAGGTGACTCCTCTTTATTCCACCTCTGAAGAACAGCCCAGCCAAGGGGGATGTGGATGGTACCTGGGCAGCTGTGGTGGAGGCCCCACCACTTCTGGGGTTAGGGGCACTGTGTCCAGAGTCTGTGAAGTCATGAGGATATCATTGATGCTGTGCCCCTGAGGCTGGTTCTCCCCTCCAGGGGGTCTCTCCCCAGCCTCGACTGGTTCCTGCCCAGCCTCAACCCCAGGCTCGCCTTCAGCCCCTCGCTCCAGGCCTTGCTGCGAAAGTGCGGAGCTGTACATGGAGTCCCCCAAGGGGCGGCTGGTGTCAAAGCACTCAGGCAGAATGATGATGTAATCCTCTGAGGAAGCAGAGGACTGACTCTGAACTTCATCTTTGAGTTCATCCTCCTCATCCTCCTCCTCAACAGCTTCTTCTTCAGCGATATGGACAATCTCTGCCCTCTCATCTCCAAGTGGTCCCTCTTCAGGCAAGGCACATTTCACTAAAGGATGAAAGCAACCAATTTTAATGTATCAGCAGAAAACAGCCCCTTATCTGGTAAAACTGTGGGTTGTGAGCTACAATTATTATTATTATTTGTTTATTTATTCATTTTTTAGGTGAGGCAACCCTTGGTTGACCTCACAGACTGCAAGGACCTTGTCAGCTTACAATCCCTTATTATTTATTCATTTATTTATTTTTTACACCTAAAGCACCTGGTCTTCCTAAGTGGTCTCCCATCCACGTACTAACCAGGCCCAACCCTGTGAGCTACAATTATGAAAGCCAGAGGAGAAGGATGAACAAGAGGCAAGGGCTGCTACTAGAACCACAGTTATGGCCATATTCTAATTCTGAAGCCTGTGCAACGCTGGATAGAACTGAAACTCACAAAAACAAGGTAGGCAGAAACATCCTGGCTCCTGAGAAGCACGATGAATCTTAAAATGAGGAGGCCCCATCCCTTTTTCTCTTCATGTGACAGTTAATAAACTGAGACAGTGGTCAAAGCAAAACTGATATACCATGGGAGCTTACAGTGCTATGAAAAAGAAAATGTTACGTGGCAAGTTTTGTAGGACTGTATGCCTACTTTCTTCTTTTTTGCAAATTGAGTAGACATTCTAGAAAATTGGCAAAACACAGATGAGGAGGAAAAAAAGTATCTATAATCTTAAGATAACTACTGTGAACATTTTGGTGTTAAGTCCTTTTTTGTTGTACATTTGTACACAAGTGTATATGGGAAAAATATATATGTGTGTATTTCAAATAAGAGAGATCATGTTTAAAATCACATTTAAAGGTATAGGTAAAACTTCATAACAGCACAAGAGATCTCCAACATTATTTTGATGCACTAGAATTTGAATTTTTGGATAGTTCTTGAAATACACAGTATTGGTTCTACCTATCTGGTACCTAGGTAGAACGATATCCAAGGTAGAATCTGAAATTTCTGTTACAAAAGAATTTGTTACAGCAGAATTTAACCTTGAGAAACTCAGTTTGGTACTCCTGCTTCTGCGCACTATCGTTGATTGTTGCCTTTGGATAAAGGAGACAATTCAGCTGTCAATGGGGGTCTCTGCTAAGGAGCTCTGTCATCTTACAGGAAGACTCCTTACTGCAGAATCTAGGCAGCACAACTGGTTGCTGCTCCTCTGTGGCCTGCAGCTGTAATTCTACCCCTGACAAAGTGCAGAAATGAGTAATGGTGGCTGTTTTGCTCTTCATGTTATAATTAAAATAGCCAGGTATAGTACGTAGTCTAAAGAAATAACTATGATCCAAATTCTAAAAAAGACAACCGACCTCCATTCTCAGTGAAGAATAGCACTTCTACCTACTCAGGTCTGAGAATCACAACTCAGGCACTGTGCTGTTGGGCAGGGGATTTCAGGGACACTCACTGCGCAGGGAATTCTGTCTGCAGGGTGGGTTGTGGTCAGGGGCAGCATCCAAGGTAAGGGATCGGATTACAGTCTCACACACGAACTGGGTCCCACTCAGGTCATCTTCTGCCTCCTCCACTAAAGCAACATTCTCAATTTTCCTCTTTACTGACACTGTGGAATCTGAAAGACACGAACCTTATCTATACTTGGTGTTTAAACTGTTGAGGAGCTTTCTCTAGTCACATACCCGTTCTCACACTATGCCATGGAGTAGCTGCTATCTGTGTTAAGTGACGGTAGAGACTTCAAAAAAATGTATTACAGAAAACCTATTTCACATAACAAGGTAAGGTTAGTAGGGGGGTATGTGTAAAAACGGGGTGTGGTATGGAAGGAGAGGATGCAAATACTTTATAAATATTTAACCCCTTACCAGGAAGTGTTTTAAATCCCGCCCCTTCACTCTCTTCCTGTATCTGCCCCAAGCCTGGTTTCTCTATTAAGGGACTGTCATGTGGCAGAGGAGACATGCAGGGAGTCATATCTGGAGAATGAAGACAGAAAAACCATCAACCAAGAAAAAGCATCACATCATCAACAGGCAGGGTCCAGAAACAGCAGCTCCCAGGCTTCTTGCCTCCTACAGGGCTAAAATAAAGCTAGGTATGCTTCAAGATCTGTTATAAACAATTTCTCCAGACTACTAGGTGTGCAAGTATCTCAGATCAATCAGTGTAACAAGGATCATAAACAGTGTTTAGCCTGGAAGGTCATGGCTAAGACACAGAACCATGAATGTGAAGGAACAAAGGGACATAAACATCTAGAGAAAAATGGAGAAGGGGGTTCCTTTACAGTGGGGGGGTCTTATAATACAAACTTATATTGTTGCCTGACAGACAACAGAGAAAAGAAGGAAAATGGACCCATGGGTGTTGTTTTGAGAGAAATTGTGGGAGAAATCCTTGCCATCTATTTCCTCAGAACAAAATACTAACACTCTAGGCTGCAGTACTTTTGTGCTTATAAATAAAATACACAAGGTGGACTGAGTGACATTCTTACCTACGGGGGTGTTGTGGGGCTCTCTTTCCAACTCTTGAACAATGTTTATATCCAACAGTTCAAAGGACAGCAGATCCTGGGGAAAAAAGAGGGCAATGTTAGTCTACCTGCAGTACACACTGGAGCCATGTTTTGTCTTGGTGGGACTTGCAGGTCTTTGAGCTCCACACCAGCCTAGATTCAACTCTGTTCAAATTCATGCCTCACCTCAGTCAAGTGAGAACGGGAAGAGTTAAATGTGAACTAGCCATTCAAATAACCAAATGGTAGGAAAAAGAAAATGCAGTGGGGGTGAAGGTGAACCAGTTGGCAGAAATGAAGAGACAACTAAAGGGAAGATGTGGCAAAGCATATGAATGAGTTCTCAATTCAAAGAGGAATCATTTAGTTTAGAAACTTGTTTCCACAGATCTCCTTGCTATTCAATGCATCTGAATGAATCAAAGTGGGCTTATCTCCAAGCTTCTGGGCATCATCTATAACTATACCACTTTCTTTTCAACAAGATAAAGCTCTGTCCCCAATGCTTTCTGTCCATTGTCCCTCAAAGTGCTCAATCCTCCACCTGGGCAGTCAAAAGGTCTACAGATGGGATGTAGAGCTCCCTCTCGCTGGCAATATTTTTGGTCTTCTGTGGGATGCAGGTTTCCGTCTCTTCTGTCTGCTCAGTCACTGCACCAAGCTGAATTTCTTCTTTGGCCAGAAGAAAAGCTTCCTATAGAGACAAATGATTGGGACAAATTTTAGGCCCTTAACAGAACTCAAAAAGGCAAGCAGATGGTTGCTTCCCTAAAAACGAAACATTGCACCTCTATGTGTTTTAAAACTTTTTGTTTTGATATAATTTTAGACTTATAGAAAAGTTGCAAAAATAGTAGAGTTGTTATTATCCCCTTCACCTAACTTTTCATAATGACAACTTAGATTAACCATTAATAGTCAAAACCAGGACTGTAACATTGGGTAACTAAATTTAAATAGTAAACACTCTAAAAAAAAAGTACCTGACTATAGGAAGGTGCCTGAAAAACAGCACACCAAGTAACAACCAGGGCAAGACTTCACTAGTACTTAAGGCACACACACGAGGGGTACTCAGGAGGGATGAATGTTATGGAGCAAAGCCATTAGGTACAGTAGTTCCACAGGCCAGCCAGGTGGCCCTGCTTTCCCCAGAGAAGCAGAGACTGGCCACGCATCATGACAAAGAGATACAAAAGCACTGAGGGATGCCTGCACCAGATCCTAAGGACATGAAAACAAAGCCCCTGAGGACAAGTCCAATATAAGCATATGTGTGTTTTAGGGGGAGGGAAAGAAGCTAGCCTTTCCAATTTCTGAAAGATCAACCAGCTGTGAGTGGGCTCTTTTAGTTCTGGTCACCCTTCCAATGCTCACCTCTTGCTGGCAGGTGAGATCACCAGTTTTGCTTAAGCTGATCATCCCCTTTTCGATGTTATCAGAGCTGTCTGTGGAGGGGAAAGGGTCCACTATGATACTGCACCAGACCCGAGGCCCAAACTGCTGGCCTTTGTGAGAAAGACGCCAATGGGATGTGTACGTTCCCTCCAAGGCTGGGGCGATGAACTCCACAGACACAGTTCCCACATGGCCAGCCTTCAGGCAGGGAACCAAAACATCCTTCTTTTCTGTAGAAGCCAAAGTCAGGTTTCCCCACATGAACTTGAGCTGAAAAGTGACAAGAGAAAAAAAGCTTGTCAGCTGAACGCGGTCACTTTGAATCACTTCATCTTCACACTTTTGTGGGAAAAATACCTTTGTGTCTGTACTCCACTTTACATTTCCTGTATTTTTCATCCTCCAGTGTTTGATAAACTTGGTTCCTGGCTGAAGGTGAGTCCCATCAGGCAAATTCTCATCCACAAATGCTGCACTGAGGGTTGGCATAACTGGGGCACAGGGTTGCAAAGGGAGCCTGAACAGAAATTCAGATAGTCACTTGCTGTTGGGTGTGATGGCTTTTGAATATCCAACACTGACTGTGGTTCAAGAGGTTAAGACTCTTGAAGATGGACTACTAATAAAACTTTTTTTAAAAAACAGAGAACAGAGCTGACTTCTGAGCTAAAAAGCTATGGTGAGGATAACTAAAACGGTCTATAAATAAAACAAGTAGAATCAGGCTCTTAAAATATTTGTTCCTTTTCTATCAAATCCAGACTGCCTCCAGTAAAGAGAGGTCATACTAGTCAGTTCTGAACCTTACTGGTTTCTACCTTTCTGAAGAAGACAAAGCAAGTGTCAAAAAAAAAAAAAAAAACCCCTACCAAACCACCCTTAAGAATGCTAGGATAAGAAAATGAGAAATTTTAAGGATTTGGGTGTTGGGGGCTGCCAATATCTAAGAGAGGTGCTGGCTGAAGGTCCTGTCTTAGAGGGCTGGACCTTAAGTCTTGGCTCCCACCATGGCCCTGGGCTTACATCAGGGTATTAGAATGCAGCAAGCTCTCGGGTCGGCCCAAAGGAGACTTGGGGCTCTGAAGTCCATGGATCGAATTCCACAGATGAATCTTCCTGTGGAGTTTAAGCTGCTTTTTAAGTTCCTTGACCTCTGCTTTACGTTGTTTCTTTTCAGCTCGCAACCTTTGCTTTTCTGCTTTAAGAAAATTCTTGTCAACCTGTTTCTGGAGCCTGTGAGATAACAAATGAGTCTTAAAAACAAAGTTCACAAATTAATTTTGAAACTATTTTGAGCCACTTGTACTCTCCATCAGTGTCAGCTTCTAGTTTAGTTTCTTAACCTCCTTCTATAGTTCTCATTTCCATTTCATTAGCTTTGAATAACTGTCCTCATCATGGCACATCAACTAGAAATGAGCAGGAACTAAGACGACTATTTGTAGTTCTGTAATTCACAGCGTGCCACCAGAACCAAGAAGCGGATCAGAGAACAAGCATCCCATGTACACATGGTTTACCTGGCTTGTTCCAGAGCAGCAGGAAGACGAGGAGCAGAAAGCCTTGAGTGAGAGAATGGTTCAGAGGAACCCACAACAGGTCTCCACAATTGGAGTCGTGGGCATATGGCCTTGATTCACAATCTTCACAGATATTGTAGGATGGACACTGGCTATGGGGAAAAGAATGGTACAGTAGGAAGTACCTGAGGTAGGGAGATATGAGACCAGACCTGCATATCTGCTCTACTAACAGCTAGGTGGTAATCTGAGCACACCACCCGACCATATCATGTCTCAATTTTCCTCATTAATAAAATGAGGACAATAACACTTAACCTGTATCTATTTCAAAGGACAATATGAGAGAAGGCGAGATATCAAAGTATTTGGAACAACAGGGAGATAATTTTTGGTGATCTAGTTTTGCTTTGGGGAATATAATTTTGTCTGGCTCTGTTAATTCAAAAGTACGCCTGAACATAACAATCTGAACAGTTACCTTTCAAACAGTTATTTTGTTGAGGGTGAAGAATAGTTTGTTCCCAAAGCAGAGCTATTATATCTGATGCTCAGAGGTAGAGTAAACCCAATTTCCCTTTACCTACCCCAAACGCCAGGAAGGCTTGCTCTAAGGTCTACTAATAGCTGTTCATTCCCAAGTTACTGCTTACCTGCACTGGTAGCGCACACCAAAGATCCTCCTTTGGCAGCTGCTGCAAGCAATATGCCAGTTGAACTGGTTTTCTGGCAAAAACAGTGTTTCCTCTGAAACTGGCATTGAGACTTCTGAGGGACAGGAACCCAGGGATGGGTTCTGGAGGACAAGCTTCTCATGTAATTTCTGTTCAAGCTTCTCGACTGTTTCTTTAACGACTTGCTCTCTAAACTAAAATGTAGAGCAGAAGATGGGGGAAAAAATCCTTCAGTTCCAATATTGGAAAAGGCATGAAGATATCAAATAGACCTGAAACGTTGCTATCTCTGATATAAGAACATAATAAAATAGCTAATAACTACTGCACGAAGTAACAGAAACATAGCAAAAGAAGGTCTTCCTTCCACAGCTAAACTAGTTCAAAAAAAACAACAAGAAATCCTTTTGATGAGTTAATTTCCACCTTCCTCTTTCTCAAGCATAGAGATTTGTCCCTTTCCCTTACATCCTTAGAATTAAACTTTTTCTGGTACATCATTTAAAAAGTTAGGAGCTTTCTTGACTGGAACTGCTGTAGTTTGGAGATTATTAGCTACTAGAGGAAGAAGCCATCTGGGCTATTTCTTCCACATTCCACACACTGCTGCTAAAATCCAAGCCAGAGAAAACACTCACTGTCTCCAGGTAGCTTGTGAACCAGTCTGGGGGCTTGTCTTGAGGCTGATCTAAGTCACATGGAGCAAGTGGAAACTGCTGCAAAGAAAACACAATCTGAGATCTTGGAAGTTACCTTTATTTCTACTTAAAATAATTTTCCTGAAATATATTATTTTGAGGTTTCTTTTGTCAAACATAAATATGCGGTCCAAAAAAAAATAACAATAATAATATAAAGGAGTACAAAAGGAAAATAAAATCTGTGTGTCATCCTATTTGCTCCTCTCCAGGAGTGCTACTGTTACCCATTTCAAAAAGTCAGACAGAGATGGTCATTACAAACTCCTAAGTTTTGATGAAGGGCTCGAATCTTACACCAGAAACAATGAGACATAAGGTTAGAAAAATTGTAGAGACAGGAATGGTCCCTTCGTACCTCTGCGGCAGGCTCCTCGGGGGTCTTCATGTCTGATCCCAAGACTCTCACCAGTGAAGAATAATGTGCAAGTGGCTTCTTCCCTGCCCTCGTGACTGGTTGTTTTTCTGCTACAACTGGGGGTGCAGCTTCATCAACTACACAATAGCCTTCATGGACTTGCATTTGCAGTTGGTTTCCCTGCTTAACTGCCATCTGAGAGCATATGTTATGAATTAAAAACGTATCATGTGAGTCTCATTTCCCAAATGAAAATTCAAAGAGGTGTGGTGAATTATGCTGGAAAATGTTTGTTTTATTAAATCAAATAACATATACCATGTTAACACTCAGCATCCTGTTTCTTTGCCAAGAATGTTAACTAGGAATGGTTTTGTTGTTACACGAAAGTAGGTTTTTAGTGCAGTACTTTACCAGGTGAGATGTTTTCATTAACTGGATTACTACTTTTCTGTTTGTTTTTACGTAGGACTCCATTTATGGATCTAATCTCAACTTTTCGAAAAGTCAATCTCAGACTACCATAACCCAAGAAAGAAAGCTATATCATATAATTATTTTCCCGTGAAAAAGTCTTTAGGAAAGCATGTTTAACCATAGTATTTTGGAAAGCATTTCCAAAATAGTATTTTGGAAAGTATTTGGTCACTTATTTTGAAGAGCATCTTCTTCATTCTATTTTAAAACCTTTACTTCAAGGAGCATTTGAGATTTCATGAAGGTATTCCAGTGTCCAAGAGATTAGGAGTCAAGTCCACAAAGTTCTAGCTCTCCCCACTTGTCATCCAGTGACAAGAACTATTCTTTTATCTACTTTACATTTCTTAACATTCCACTTTAAAATAGCATTCCATGGCCAATACGTTTGAAAGATATTACGTAATCAGAGATCAGCAAACTTTTTAAAGGGCCACATAAATTTTAGGCTTGCAGACCATACAGTTTCCGTCATAACTACTCAACTCTGCTAATGTAGCACAAAGGTAGCCACAGACAATACAACAGGCATGGCTGTGTTCCAATAAAATTTTATTTATAAAAATATATGGCCAGCCACTGGCTATAGTTTGCCAATCCCTATTCTAGACCATAAATCAAGAAGCTTTTAGTAAAATGTGTCGTAGAGTCTGTGGAAAAAATTGCTCAAGAAATGACTATAATGAAATGTTTCAAAATATAAACAAACATGGGATCTTAAGTAGTAAATTGTGTGTGTGTGTGTCTTGCTTCCTGGGGTAACACAGGCTTATATAAACTCTGGACTCCTGAGGTCCAAGATTTCTGACTGAATAGATAAAATAGTGACTGTGGAAAAGGTGAAAGAGTTTTGAAGATCTTAGAAGACTTTTTCAAACTATTATAGCTTCTGAGAGTAAGGAAAGAAAAAAGCCAGGAAGAGTTGGACAAGAGTGAAGGGGTATGGGGGAATAGCATAAGCAAAGAGGAAAATGGAAGACCACATGAAATTGGGGCAGAGGGAAATTATGAAGCATGTGAAATTAACAGATACGGGTATCTCAACTAAGAGAATCCAGGGAAGGGCCTGAATATCCAAAACCAAGAGACTAGCTGGTAATTAAGGATTTCTGAGTAAAAACCAAGAAGACATTGGCCAAATTATTGAAACAACTGGCACCAAAAATAGCATTCTGATCAGAAACCAAAAAGGGTAAATCTAGCTCCCGACTAAAAATTCTTGCCTCTCCCTCTCTAAACCAAAAATGATTATGGAAAATAGCTTAGTCTTGGACTAGAAGTTTATAAAGGATAGTCAAACTTTAAAGAATAAAGAATATCTTTAATTACAAAAGTGGTAATGAATGGACAGCTTACACACCTTAAAGAAGTGACTTCAAGGAATGCTCAATTCATCACTAACAAACAAGAGATTGTAACTGGATGCTTTATACCTTAAATTCTCCCATATTATACTGAAACATTCTATAAAGAACAAGGTGAAGGAAGGAGATGAAAAATGTCATCCAGAAAGCATTGTTCCGGAGTTCTTTGTATTTTTAAATGCTAGGGCAGTGGCACCAAGACCAGCAATGAGAGAACAGTAAATAAAAAGAACCTTTATGTAAGGAGTTGCCTTTTGCTGAGTGGTATGCCCTATTCATCAGTTTCTCTAAAAATAGGTTTTCCTGTGTTTATATTCGTTAGTTTCTCTCTCATGTAATGGAATTCAGGTTCAAGTTTCAGTCAATAAATAATTTAAAAATTATTTGGAAAAAAAAAAAAAGAAGCAATAACCATTACCTTAAGTGCTTCTTCATACTCTCCTAAAAGGACAAAAAATACATACTGTGATATTTCTTCGCCAGCCCAAAAGATTCTGTTAAGTAAAACCAATCCTTACTTTTAAGAATTCTTAGTTTACAGTCCTTTATTTTTTTATTTTTTATTTTATTATTATTATTTAGGCCTACAGCATCTGGTTTTCCTAGGTGGTCTCCCATCCAAGTACTAACCAGGCTCGACCCTGCTTAGCTTCCGAGATCAGACATCGGGTTTGTTCAGGTGGCATGGCGGTAGACCATGAACCGTGGCTCCACTGGGGCACGAATCCAGGACCTTTATGCATGTAAAGCAGATGAGCTAACCGCTACACTATGGAACCACATCTGTTCATAATCCTTATACATGTACAGCTACTAACCTTTTGCTGACAAACTCCTTTCTCATCCCATTGCAAACAGAAGCTACTTGCAGGTTTGTTCTCCCCTTAAATCTCTCTCTCTGTGCCACTGGAGCCTTCCAGTTATAAAACTTCCACCCAGCTCACTCACACTAGGCTTAGAGAAGCTCAGGACTCAAGGGAGTTAATACTATCATTTCAGCTGGTTAAAAAAAGCTTTTGGGAGCCATCCTAGGAACCTAAACTTCAAATTTAACAGTGTTCCTGTGGGAAAATGTACTCCAACCTCTAACAACCAACTATCTTATAAATAAGCTCCTGGAATACCACTTGTTTATAAATTACCACTAACATATATACCAGATCAGAAACAAATGCAACATACCAGGAGAACAAGTTATGTGTGTTGAACTGGGAGGCATGTTTTCAGATTACCATGTTAAATATAAGAGAACCTCCCACCAGAGCTGTCCTTAGACTTCACTCCAAGGCACTGACCTACGTACAAAAAACTGCTATAAAAATCTGCTACTTTTATTTTATAATGCTGATGGATGAGTAAATGCAATGTCAATTTACTATACACAAAATCCCACTCTAAAATGAATATTGCAACAAGATTGTGTAAATGGAAAGGCATACGTTCAGGATTAGATTAAGGCTTTTAACGCACCTTGACTGTTGATGGATACCTGTAAAAAGAAAAAAGCAATAGTGAATTATAAATCTATCATCAAACGAACATTTCTGTCACTAGGACAAGCCTCACAGGATGGATGTAAAATCTCAGGTAAGTGTTCAGCTTTTCCAATATTATGAACTAACTGACTAATGATAACATAATTTTATTGCTTAACTACTGTATCCTCCTTTATTTCATGTACATTATGCAGCAACATAACATAGTGGTTAGGAGCCTGGGCTCCAGAGCAAACTTTTGTGCCTTTTGGCAAGTTATTTAACCTCTCTGTGCCTTAGTTTCCTGATGGGTAAATAAATGAGAACAATGTACCAAATACATAGTATTGTTGTTAGACTGACACACTGTAACCACTTGATAAAGGTTTGTTATTATTATTTTATTATAAACTAAATGGTACCTTGTGATATATTTGAACTTAAGGTCACTATATAGTTTTAAAAGTTCTCTCCCACATTTTCTTCTTCAATGTTGCTTCCCTATTTCCCAACTCCATCTCAGATGTCACAAGTCAGCTTAGAACATGCAATCAAACATATTTAAACCACTACACAAATGAGATAAACACTATTCTGAACTTTTAAAGCCCTACACCAGTCTTGAGAAATATGATCCCTATTCCATATACCTGGCCAAGGGTACCATCATATACTTTACCTCTTCATTTTCCTCATCCAGATATTTTATTTGAATAGTGTACAGGTCAAATGAAACTTTTACCTGCAAATGAAATGTATACACTATATGATCAAGATATCAAAAGGGTAGTTTGTGACATAAATCTAGAAGTTATAAAGAACAGGCATATTTCATTATATAAAAATTAAACATTCTATGTGATAAAAAAAAACAAAACAAAAAAACCACACCATAAACAAAGGCAAAAGACAAACAATAGACTGGGGAAAATATGTGCAACTCATAACAGACAAAGGGTTAATATCTACAATACAAAAAGAGCATCTACAAAACTGCTAATCATAAGATTATGCCTAACAAATATATGAAAAGATGTTCAACCCAATGGTAGTCAGAAAAATGCAAGTTAAAACAATGAGATGTCATCTCGACAGAATGGCAAAAAAAAAAAAAAAAAGAAAGCCATTAACATCCAATGCTGTCAAAACTTTAGGGCGCTGTCATGTATTTCTTTAAGGTGCTATAATTCTTCTGCAAAGCGCCTGGTAGTATTCACTAAAATTTAAAATCACGTCTTGTGACCCATTAATCTCACTTTGGAAAACTTTATCCTATAGAAGAGCACATAAGTTATATATACAAACAGCTATCCCCTGCAGTTCATTTTATAGTGGTTAAAAAAACCCCAAAAACCTTTTGACCTTGAGTCACTATCACTCTTCTCATTATGTAAATTATGAAACCCAAGGTTCAAAGCATTCGCCAGACTTTAATAGTCTTAGTTAAATCAGTGACAGAGTCAAAGGTCCCTCCCAACTAGAACTCCTTGATCTAAAAGAATGTAACTTGACCTATATGAGCTACTCCAGACACTTCAATGCTCAGACACTTTTCAGGAAAAGTGAAATGTTCTTTCCTATAATATTTCATAACAACGATTATACTTCTATACATAAATGAAATTCAAATTTGTAGTAATTGTAACTTTTGAATTATCTACCAGGCAAAATAAATTCAAAAAATTAATTTAAAAAGTACAATTAGGAAAAAAAAACCTTTTGACCTTGAGGGCATTATGCTAAGTGAAATCAGACAGAGAAACACAAATATTATATGATTTCACTTTATTATATGTGGACTCAAAAAAAAAAAAACCCAAACAACAAACTCAGAGATACAGTGAATACACTGGTGGTTACCAGAAGAAGGGGTGGGAGGTAGGTGAAATAGGTGAAGGTGGTTAAAAGGTACAAATTTCTGGTTATAATATATATAAGTCCTGGGGATGTAATAAACAGCATGGTGACTACGGTTAATAATACTGTATCATATATGCGAAAGTTGGTAAGAGAGTAGATCTCATAAGTTCTCAATACAAAAACTGTATAGTGATGAAAGTTAACTAGACTTATTGAGGTAATCATTTCACAATATATAAATATAGAAACATTATGTCGTGTACCTGAAACTAATATGTCAATTATACCTCAATTAAAAAAACTGGGAACAATCTTGCAATAAGAAATAACCACTTTGGTACAATATCAATAATATTGTGGACAATCTATAACTTTAAAAATAATGAGCTTGGATCCTTACCTATTCATTCAGAACTATGTATAAAATATACTGTTGAGTAAGAAAAGCAAGCTGCAGAATGTTTATAGCATAATCCTAATATAATATCTGTATGAACATGGGAAATGTATCTAAGTACATACAAGACTTAACACCGATTACCCCAGAGAGGTGGAAATAGTGGATGGGAGGGAGGGGGGAGTGGAGGGATATTAACTTTTTCTTTATACGTGTTTGGATTGTTTCACTTATAATGGGCATGTATGACACTTTTATAATTTAAAATCTACAAAAAAGAAAACAGGTAAGCTTTCAGCTCATTTAACTACTAGGAAAAAAGGTAACTATGTTTGATTTTCAGATCATTTGACAAACAAGATCTGACTTTCTAGATAACCGTCAGTCTAGGATGGTATAAAGTAGTATTTGCTGGAAGACAGAAGACCAGATCAAACCATCTTTTGTAGTCTCTCTACCATTTCTTTTCCTTTTTAGTTACCAAAACACATAACCAGATAAAAGGTTTTTACTAACCAGGTATAAATAAGTTTTTACCAAAGGGTTTTGTTAGACAAAGAGTGATACACGAAGTAAAACATTTATGACTACAGATCGAACAAGAGTACAAAGGGCAAACCAAGAAGAAAAATAAAGATGAATTTCTGTCTAAACACCTGTAGGAAGTTTTTTGGGGGGGGGGGGGGGGTTTGCGCTCAACTTATTCAACCTCTGACCTAGCAATAAAAACAATCAATCAGTTCTTGCAAAACACAAGTTATATCCTTGATGAGTCACAAACCACAGTCACATACTAGCTCTCAGGCAAGAGGACATTCTTCTGGGGCCTCGTTAGGGTGGGGCCCATATACTAATTCATTCCTCAGACTATTTCTAAAATTAATGTTTTCTAAGTCCTATTTCACTTAAAAAACAAAAAACAAAAAAAAAGCCCTTACTTTCCTTTCTAAACTCTTCAAAAGGAATTTATTTGTTCCCTTTATTGAGGCACATCTCCTATATGAATACTGAACCCTTGTCAAAAATAATTTTCCAAAAGGTTAATATGACAGGCTTTGCAGCTATGAAACAACACTGCTAAAAATAGCTACCTTTAGGGAAAAAGATCTATGTTTAAAAGATGGAGAAACAAAACAAAATTAACACTCACCATAGCTTCGACATCAGCCCATGTTGTATTTTCTGGATCGGAAACCAGAAAGCTTTGAGTTTCATTTTTAAAAGTCACATTTAGAGTAACCTGTGGTTCCATACTGTGAGGCTAGAGCCCAGAGGATGAGAGAGAGAGAAAACACATTAGAAAGGGTTTGGACTAGGCTAGGAGGACACAGCAGTGAATAAGGCAACATCTCTGCTCTTCTCAATCTAGTGGGTGGTTTAAAACAAATCTCACAGTTAAATGTTTGTTAAGAAAATGTAAATTTTGGTCAAGCCCACAGAAACCATCTAACATTCCTCAAATCCTTTAGGATTTTCTAGAACTTTATAATGATTGGTTAACTAAACAGATACCTACTATCTGCTAGTAGCAGGATACCAGATAAATCAGATTAGGTCTCTACCCTCAGGGAATTTACATTCTTATAACTTCAAAGCAACATTCTACATTTTCTGAGAAAAGCAACCTTTTTCCAAATTGAGCAACTCAGGTTTTCTATAAGATCAATTTTAACAATTTAGAGGCCAAAACATTAGCCAAGAAACTACAGAGGTAGCATTCAACATCCTTCATTCAAGTTCATCTGTTTTGTAGTCTACTTTTTTTCTTGTATGGAGAATTTTAAACATGTATAAAAGTGGAGAGTAATGAACACATTACTCTCACTTCATCTATACCCCTACATACCTCCCAACTCCCCCATGTGGAGAGGCTGTAGTCAACTGTTGTAACCAAACTATAGCAATCTAATTTTAAAAAAGATGATTATGGGAAAATTTAAACCTATACAAAAGAGACTATTATTTATTAAATCTCACTGCATCCATCAGCCATCTTCCATAATTAGCATCAACTCAGAACTAATCTTGTTAACAGCAATATCCTTTCCTACTGGATTATTTTGACAGACAGCCATCATTTCATCCATAAGACAATTGAGTATGTACCTTTAAAAGATAAGAATTTTAAAAAACAATCACGATACTACTATGATGCCTAAGAAGTTAACAACTCTTTAGCTGAACGTCTATTTTTAACTAAGGGTTTTGTTTACTGATGAGTTGTTAGAGGTTGGTTTGGTTTTATGACTATGAAAAAATAGTTTAAATCTAAATATAAGTTGTAATGAAAAATGTCAGCTTTTAAACATATTGACAAATTTTTAATAAGCATCTATAAAGATCAGATTCCGATCTAAGCACAGGAGTAGATGAACAAGATTAAGTCCCAGGGGTTTATAGTGTAATGGGGAAGAAAGCACAGGGTTGAAAGAGCTGAGTACAACACATCCCTGCCACATTACTAGCCATATAACTGAGCAAGACATTTAACCCCTGAGCTTTAGTTTCTTAATCTGTAAAATAGGTCTAATATCTCTGCTTTCGCTACCTAACAATGTTATCATAAGGAACAAATAAAAATGTGTGCAAGTTCTTCAAAAATGTTACTCAAATATAAAATTATAATAAATCAGTCTTTGGGACCTAAAATAGTGGTTTTCCACAGTATAATGCGCTACCCTGTGAAACAACACAACAGATACTGTCATTAAATAAGAACTTGAAGATCTGAGGATTAACTATCTTTTTTAAAATTCAAAAAACAATTATCCCCCAAATTTTCCCATTCTTTATCTCCATCTAAAGCCAAGTTCATCGCCAAATGATACTGGTTTCTAGCACCAATCCTGACATCTAGTATTCATTCATATGGAATGCAATTTTGGGGGTCCTTAAAACTTGGACAGAACTCCTGTCAACTCCCTAGAATCTTAGACAAAAAAAATCCAAGAAATTAAATGACTATTTGTCTGCCCAAAGTGGGTCTGAAACAGTCTCACTTTTCAACTTCGGAAACACTTCCACACTTTTGAGAGTCCAGAGGAAACTAATCTTTCTCCCTTTTTCTCAAATTACACAATTGGAAATTTAGATACTTTGGAGCTCATCCAGCTGGTAGGCTGATGAGGAGAAAACAGGAAGTGGGAGAGGCTAACTTAGCTAAATAATAGCCAGATCTTCATAAAGAACGGCCTGCTTCCGTTTGGCTTATATATGAAAATTCTTTTAGCAAGAGCATTAATCTTGAACTTGTGGAAACACCAAAGCTATGGTTAGGCCCATCTGTCCCTGTAAGTTTGAATCCAGTAAAGTCAGGAAGCTGGGGCCTAGGCCTTCAGCTTTCAAAACTGGCATTATTTTAAGTTCATGCCACTGACTCACTTTTGCTTGGCACTAGTCAGCTTTTCCTCTATTCGGTTAAGGATATCAAAAATTCCTTTAATGACGCTGACCCGAGAATCTGAGCTTTAGACTACTGAGTCCGCCAGAGGCCTGTGTAAGATGTTCTGGGCGTTAAAATGTGTGACTAGAAAACTAAGTGTTTGACTAAAAGTCAAAACGATGCCTTTGTAATACCAGAGGTCCCTGACCAAGGAGACTTTGATGAGGTTCTCAAAAAACGGAGGGGGATGGCGTGAGGAGACTGAGCGGGTAGTGTCATTTTTTTTTCCCCTTGCGGACTTCATACTAGTCATCCAGTTATCGTTTCCTAGCAATCTTATGTCCCCCAAACACTGTCACCATCCCTTAAGGACTTTGTTTTCTTTGCCTAGGCCCTTTTTGTGCCAGGGAGTCTCGGCCTTCCATCTGGAGAAGCGGGCGTTCCGAGCCACCGATCCCCCATCCCTACGGCAGTATCTGCCCCTTCGGCCCCTAGAACATGAACGGCTCTCCCATCCGATCACTGAAAAGATCGGCTGCCCTTAGACATGGAAAAAGTCGCCCCTCTTTACAGGGTTGCTCCCTTGAGCTTCCCCAAATCCTCTCTGTGCGATATGACCTCACCCCTAGGTAATCGCAGCAGCTTCCTTACCAGCTTCTCGCCCCCGGGGGGCGCCTGCCAGAGGCCAGTGCGGAGACCGGTCGCTACCAGATCATCTGCTTTCCCGGCAGGGTGAATCTAACATGGCGGATAGAGACAGGGCCTAGTCCCCTGTTTCTCTGAGTTTCCGACAAGATGATTGGCTCTTACCAGTTGTTCCTCATAACTACCACCCTATTGATTGGTCGAAGATGCGCTAGCGGAGGCGGGACAAGAGCAGCCTGAACCTCACAACAATAACAAACATTGGGGCCGAGGGGCGGAACTACGAGTGCGCAGCCGTGGGTCGGGGCCCATTTCCCCTTCCCAGTTAATTCGGCGCCCACTGCGTTCCCTTAGTTCACTGACCTTAAAGGACTACTTACCCGAGACTCGCGGGGCTGGCTGGGAATTGGAGTCTTCCTAGGACTTGTAGGTTCTTTAGCTTATTCTCCGCTCTCAAGATACGAAAACATAACACTCCAATCCATGTCTGTTGACGTGCATAAGCGTACGGAGCTTTTTAGATTATCAACTAGGTTGCCGTGAGACTCGTGCCCACTTCCAGTGTCGGAAGTTCCTCTCCATAAGACTACAGTTTCCAAGGAACACAGTGACGAAGGCCTTTTGATCCGCAATGCATGCTGGAAATCGTAGTTTTTTTGCCCACAATCCTTTTATTTACCCAAACTGGAGACTTCCATTGCGGCGGGAAGTGTGAGGGAACGGGGCCTCTTCTGGCGAGTGTTGTAGACACTATCTTTCGCTCATATTCGGGCCTCAAGGATTCCGACTTGGGTACAGGAACCACTGTGACGTAATAAGACGCCCTTGGAAGCGTGGAGGTGAGGAGGCGGGCGCCTAATAGAAAACTCAGAATTCTGTCTCTTCCGTCTCTTTCTAATTACGTAACGCAGGGAAAGAATGGATGACCAATCCGGAGCCCAGAGAGACTCTCGGCTCTTTCTGCTCCGCCCTTCCATAACGTGTTTCCGTATCGTATTCTGAGAGGCTCTTGCTCAGCCGCTGAGGCCAGTTTCCGTGGCAACGGAAAAGTGCGGGAATTACAGATAAATTTAAACTGCGACTGCGCGGCGTAAGCTCGTTGAAGCTTCTGGACCGAGGACGGTTCGCGGGGCTTTTTGGATAAGTTGGACCCCCTAACCCGGGAAGCCCAGACGCTTTGTTTTGTGTAACGGTGAGAGAGCCCTGGAGAAGGGAGAGGGGCCTCAAGGGTACTTCGGGAGACAGGTGAGAACAGGTGTGGTGAGAATGGGGAGAGGGACTTGTGAAGGAGAGCAAGATGGATGGTGTCTGGCAGGGGCGGGCTGAGAGTGGAACCTGAGAAGCCTAAGACGTTGAGTTGGGAAATTGTGGGGGAGGGGTGCACTTTGTGGGTCGCGGGGTGAGGGGAGAAGCCAAGGGTGCGGGAGGGGACTGGGTGTGGCCGAAGAGGAAAACTGATGATAGGAACTGGAATATGTCTTGAGGAGAACGACATAATAGGCTGGTTTATGTGAAAATTGGACTCTGAGGAAGAACTGGAGGCAGGAACGTGTCTGGGAAGAGGAGGAGACAGGATTTTTGTGGGAAGGGAGAGCCTTTAAGAACTGTATTCACACGCGTTTCTGAGAAGGGACAAGAGGAAAGTAGAGGGGCGTCAGTCACAGATGCCGCTGGCATTGGTGTGCCTGAGGATCCTGAGATGAGTGCAGGCAATTGGGAAAGACCAAGGGTGGAGAGCCTTGATTGGTGTTGGTTTTGTTTTTGTTGATTTTTGTTTTAAGCGAGAGAAAACAGCCGGGAGATTTGGAGAAATCCGAGGCAACCACCACTCACCCAATCAGTCACCTTTGCTTGGAGAAAGGGAAAGACCAAAAGGAGGTGGTTGGAGGCTATATGTGAAAACAGAGAATTTAAATGGTCTTAATTACAAAAAAAAAAAGTTTAGAGTTTTAAGAAAGGCTTTTGTCATTAGTTCTATGGTCGCTATAATTCTAAAGCACTCCAATTTTAAATTTCTCTTATTTAAAATGACAATGAAATTAAATTGTTTTTTATAAACATTTTAAAGCATACATTTAAGCCTATGTGTTCAAGTTCATTGTAACAGGAAGAAATGGATTTATGTGCGGATCGTGTTGAAGAAGTACAAAATGTCCTTAATGCTATGCAGAAAATCTTAGAGTGTCCAATCTGGTAAGTCAAAAGAAGAATTTATTAATTTGAGATTCTTCCTCTTAGATTATGTCCTATGCAAATCAATAGAATTGACCTTACATAGTAACAAGAAAAAAATTATGTTTGTTAAGATTAAGCTATTAAAGTTGCTGCTTTTCTTAACTGAAGGGCTTTAAGAATATAGAAAATTACTCCTTTTTCTCCCCTCTGTCTCTCCTTTTCTCTCTCTACCATCTCAACACACATAGCTCCCTATCTTTCCCAGTCCACCAACTGCCTCGATTGGTTCTACATTGGGGCACGGATCTGGTTCAGATTAGTGGCACTTGAACTTTTCATTCGGCTCTAAAACCAGCTTGATCACTTGGAATGGAAATACTTAATAATGGCAAAATAAAATTAGGAATGATTGGTGTCTATAAGTGGGTAGGTCTTTGGGAGAACCTTTGACTGAAACTAGCCCTGTATATTTAAATAATACTACAAGTCCTCAAAGCCTTTAGCAAGTCTCTGACTTTTTGTGTGAGCCTTTGTGTTCATCTTAGAGAGGGGACTAAAATATTCAAGTTTTTTTTTTTAATTGAGGTGTAATTTACATATAGTGAAATGCAAAGATCTTAAGTGTACAAGTCTGTGAGTTTTGACAAGTGTATATATATATATATCTGTGAAACCCAGTCAAGATATAGAACATTTCCATCACCCCGGCAAGTTCTCTTGTGTGTATTCAGGACCTCTTTTTGGCCCTCTACGACCCTGGAGGCCTCTGAATAGACCTGAATTTCAATATAATTAGTTTCTTATATAATTTTACATATTTTTATTTTATGCATTTAAAAGCATTACTTTGAGAAAGGGAGTCATGAGCTTCACCAGCTGCCAAAGGGCACAACAAAGGTTATGAACCTCATCAAGCAGTCACTAGATGATTTCTATGGTGTCTCTTAAATCTACAAAATAAATTAGCCATACTTCAGTCTCTTCCATGAAAAGCCAGAAAAAAAATTTAGAACAACTGTTACCTACCCTCTCCCTCCTTATTCTCTTTACTCTGGTAATTTTGACCTCTTAACTGTTCTTCAGACTTGTAACATTCTTCTGCCTCTGAGCTTTCATGCTTGCTGTTTTCTCTGCCTGGAATCTTCTTCCCTCGATAATTGCATGGCTTGTAAGTCTTGATTGAAATACCACCTTCTCAAAGAAAATTGTCATTTTCAGACAATATTATTTAAAATTTTAACAACTTCACCTGAACATACTCCTTATCCCCTTTTCCTGTTTTATTTTTCTCTGTAACTCTCATTACTGACATTCTGTATATGTAATTTATCTTTTTTCTCTACTCCTACAGAATATAAACCCCATGAGGGCAGAGGTTTTTGTTTGTATTGCTTACTTCTGTGTCCTCAGAGGCATAGTAGCCACTTGGTAAATATTTGTCAAAGGTATTAAATAATACTATATTGGTTCTTTGATAGTTTAGTTGTTTTTAATATGGCGATGGCTAATGGTGGATTTCATTCAAAAAATAAATTGGAAAGCTGCACCTTTTGCTTCTTTCTATAAAGGAGAATAAATTTAAAATTTTCTTTGTGCTTCATGAAAGTCGTTTTTCATATTTGGAGTCAAGTAAATAAGATTAAAGAAAATGGAAGTTGTATTTTCAGAGAGATAGAAGATTTATAAGTAACCTTCTCCCTTCTCAACATTTCAGCCAAACAAAAACAAGAGCTAAATGAGATTTACAGCCTAATTCGTGAAACATCAGAGCCAGAAAAGCAGGAAATGGCAATTGGGGAAAAAAATTGCTTTTGAAAAAGCATAAAACTTACTCATGATAATTACAAAGAGTGATCAAAAAGTCCTCAATAATGTGGCATTTGGGTCCATTTATTTTACATTTCCATGGAACTCAGTCATAAAAACTTTTTTTTTTCTCATTCTGGCAAAATAAACCATCAATTAAAAAACTCAGATACATAAAAGTTAAAAATGCAAGATGAATGTTAATGTTAAATTTTTATTTCAGTCAAGTATTTCACATTTTATAGCTTGTTTTTTTAAATCTGGTTTTTATTAGAAATAGACAGAATTTTAAACTAAAACTGCATCCCAGTCATTGCTAAACCTTAAACTCATTTAATGGAAAGTTTTAGGATGGAAATCATATCTACTTTTTTTTTTTTTTTTTTTTTTAACAGTGCCCAAAACAGTGCAATTTGCTGTTATATCTTAAATGATTCCTGATTGTGACTGGAAACAGTGTTGCTTATGGTAGCTATAGGGTAGGTTTCCAGTTTCTTTGAAGTCTCTAGAGCTGAAATTCCTTCTGTTGGCCTCAGTCACAATTTCTGATAATTGATCATTCTTTTTAACTTTTTACGCCTGACTATATAAAAATTTTAACTTTCAGAAGAGTTTTTGAAAATAGTGTCCTGGTGAGTTGAGTGGTGGTTGTTTTTAGAACCTAACCTAGCTTCGTTTTCCAATACTTAACCCATTTCGAAAGCTCAAAATGGTTTTTAGAACCTAACCTAGCTTCATTTTCCAATACTTACCCATTTTGAAAGCTCAAAATGCAGAAAGGCCTGATTTGAAAAGTGTTTAAAAATATTTGAGTCACTTTTATAGTAAGCACTCTCATCAGGACCTAGAAGAGGAACATTTTAATTTTTTTCTTTTCATTCCCATTCCCTCTTCAAGTTTTTTCTTCAACAGTCATTATCTTTTTACATATTGGAGTTTTCATCTGTTTGAAGTTTGTTTACAGTATGTTTGTATAGTTTGGCTTATAATTACCATACTGAAATATAATCATTTCGGAACTGAGTCAGTGGTGAGAATGAAAGCCATCTGGTATCATAGCTGAATCCAATTTCTCTTTTACTGAGAATGTCTTTGATATCTAGCTTATCTGAGGAATAGTGATTTTGTAACAAATCAGAGTTCTCGTTGTTGGGTTGTTTGTTTTTTTAATCACAAACGTTGGTACAAGTTATCTCAGGTTGTGAACATTTTCCCAAGTAGCACTTAATTTTATTCTCACAGTAGCCTGAAGAGACTGGTAGAATGGGTGACAGTTTCTTTACAGGAAACTGAGGTTTTGTCAGGTAGAATGCTTGACCTGAGGTCACTCTGCTAATAAAAAGAACTGGTAGTAGATACCCTGCTTTCTAACCTTACTCCAGTATTTTTCTTTTTCTTCCCCTGTGCTGCGTCAGAAACCCCATGATTACAAGAGTTGTGTTACCAAATCCTTCACAATGAGGCTGTTGTCCCCCAGTTTTTCTTGTGATCCTTTTCTAAAAAGTTTAACATATAATGAAAAGGACCACATTCCTGTCACACACAAGTTACCTATTGTTTGATGTCCTGCCTGAACTTTACCAAAAATCAGTTTCTAAAGCTCTCATTCAGAATAAAAGCTAAAGAGTTAAAATAGCCTGTAAGTTCCTACCTGCTCAGGTTCCCGGCTACCTCTCTGACCTCTTCTGCTGGTAGTTACCCCCTCGATCATTCCATCCTAGCACCCTACCTACTCTCTGTCCTTCAAAACACCAGGCATGGTCCTGGTCAGAGTCTGTCTTATCTGCCTCCTCTGATGGAATGTTCTTCCCTCAATTGTTGCACAGCTTGTTTCTTCACATTATTCAGCTGTCTGCCACCTTCTGTGAGGCCTTTGCTGACCTGTATATACTCCCCTGCACACGCTGTACTCCCTATCCCCCTTGCCCTTATTTATTTTTCTTTTTAGCACTATTCCCATATGTTCTTGCTCATTTCTCAATCAACTGTCTACTGCAACTAAAAAGTAAATTCTGTAAGAGCAGGCTTTATGTTGTTCACTACTGTATTTCTGTCCCCAAGAACAGTGCATGCATATAGTAGATGCTCAGTAAATACTCTTTGTATTAGTAAATGAATTCATCTCAGGTAGGCCTTAAGATTTTGTGGACAGGTGGGTAGAGATAGGAATTTGGGTGAGGTATTTTCTTGAAACTTTAATTTTTTTGAGTTTATTTTATTATTTTCTTAAGTTAGTATTTATTACATTGTTTTTACAAAGTAATCACAAAGCAACCATCATGTACCTCCTGAATTGAAGTAATAAAAGTACACAGTACCAAAAATTGTTCTTGCCAAAAAGAATCAAACCTTAATCAAGCCTGTAGGTCCACTTTACGGGAAATAGAGGTTAGAAGAACATGTTAAACTACACAATAGGATTACAACCAGCAAAGTCCAGAATGTGGGAAATTCTGCAGGTCAAATGACCTAGTATTTAAGGAAATGACAAAGGCAGAGAAAAGCTATAGATTAAACGAGGCTTAAGACATATCAACCAAACGCAATTTGTAGATCTTGTTTGGATCCCGATTTACCTAGATTTTATCATTAAATTTTTATGAGACAGGAATATTAGAACATTTATTGTATATTAGATGATATTAGCAAAATTATTTTCTAGGAGTAATGTTCTCATGATTATGCTAAAAAAGTCTCTTTTAAAGATATGTCCTGAAATATTTATAGATGAAATGATATGATGGCTGGGATTCATTTTAAAATAATCTGAGCTTTGAGTGGATGTTGGCCATGAATGAAATAAGATTGGCTGTGAGTTGGTAATTGTTTAAACTGGGAGTTCATTTTACTATTTTATTTGTGTAAATGCTTCAAATTTTCCATATTAAGAAATTAAGTAATCACACATACACAAAAGTTTTGTGACGGAATCCAAAAGAAATACAAGATATTTTTGTCTTTGTGGAGCTTAAAGTTTAGTTAAGATACAAGATGTCTTATGATGTCCTATGATAGCTCAAAAAAATAGATCGGCGAAAACTAATGTGAAGTAATATCAGCTAATCTTTTAAATGCTATAGATAGTATAGAGTATTGAAAAGAATAATATTATGTTTTGGTGTCTGAAAGCTCATTGAAGATAAGGATCATATTCTCTGCTGTATTTTTGGCTTCTAGCACAGCAGACATTTAATAAATAGTTATTGAATGCTCTTAAAACCCTACTTTGACTCAGTTATATCCACTTAAAGTTGAACTTCTGTACTAAGAATATATTTATTTTTAAATGAATTATTGAGCCACGTTTTTTTTCCTACCCTTCTAGTCTGGAGCTGATCAAAGAGCCTGTTTCCACAAAATGTGACCACATATTTTGCAAGTAAGTTTGAATGTTTTATATGGCTCCATTATTAACTTTTGTGCTTATCCTTCATAACACAGAAAACACCTAACTTTATAGAAGCTTTAGCTTCTTCAATTAAGTGAAAGAAAATTCTAAGTCTGTTTCATTCTGCCTCATTGAGTACTTTGTCATCATATGTTGGTTGTAGCTGTAGTTCCTGATAAAATATTGGCATATTTATCTAGTGGGATATGAAATGACTTTGAATAGTTATTTGGGTTTTTTTTGTATTCATAGGTGGAAGCAGATTGCAAGCAATTGTGAAATAAGTAAATTGTGTTTTAACCTTGCCAGTTTCTCTGTTCATTTCACATGTCCTGCTTTCTTCCTTGTAAGGTTCAATGTAGGACCAGTTTCTTTGTAGATCAATACTTTTGTAACATAAAATTTAAAAGTACCAATATTTAAAAGGTTACAGAGAGCTACAGATTGATTTTTTATACGTGAGACTTACACTGTTTCTTGATGAGAATCTTCCTGAAATGTACGCTTTTCTGTCACCTTGAATAATGAATACATAGTAGTACAGTGAGTAAAGAAGAGATTAAATTATCAACATTCATTACTTTCAGAGCTTGTGGAAGAAGGAAATTACAGGCAGAGAAAATAATATGATCAAGGGTAAGAGAAGAAAGTAGAATATGTCCTAAGAAGAAGACACTAACTTTGCCTATGTGTTAAGAAGTTGCGTTAGAAGAGGAGGGAGCCCTCAGAGGAGTGATGACATTTGCAAGACAGAGAAAGTCCAGGAGGAAGTAGAAGGGATCGGAAATAGAAAATGAATATAAGAGAGAGAAATAATTGTTATTCATAAGCAGTAATGAAAGAAAAGAAGAATAAGTCCACAGAAAATTTCTGATGGAGAGTTGGGGGAGTTGTAGTTTGAGCTCAGTGAAGTCGGAGGTACAGACATCTGTTGAGATTGAAAGGGTTAAAGTTAGCAACTGGGGGAGAATGAGAAAGGCTCGCAACTCCTAATACAGAGAATATGATAAGCAGAAGAACCAGCCGTATTTCAAATAATATATTAGAATTATAAGTAGAGTATAATACCCAAGTAATAGATCAACTTTTTCATGACATCTCTTTTGTTGTAATATTTTTATAATCTGAATACCTCTTGGATCTGTATGGTGAAAAAGCTGGAGAAAATACCCCAAGCATTAATTGTATTTTCTCAGGATGAATTCTAATTGCTAATGATAAAGTAGCTTTATAGACTGGGGTAAGCCTGTAGTTGTAAAATCTTTTATGAGATATACAAAAAAGATAATACCAGTCTAGAAAAAAATAATTAGGCCATTCATACATTAGCTTACAGTTTCTAAATAACAAATGAAATGTATACTACTTCTTGGAAGACCTAGAACCATATTATCCAAAGAGATATGAGTCGTAGGTATAACTTAAATTTCCTGGTAGCCATATTACTAAAAAGTAAAATAAAAAAATTTTAAATTACAGTTATATATTTATATTTTTAAACCTAACTATGACTAGAATTTTGCCATTTCAAAATATAATCAATATGAAAATATTTTCCTCCTCCCACAGTATGAAAATATTAATGAGATTTTTTTTTGACATTCTTTTTTTTGTAGTAAGTTTCTAAAAGCCTGTGTTTTTCCATACTTATAGTACATCTCAATTCAGACTAGCCATATTTCAGTGCTCACTAGCCACATGTGGCTAGTAGGTGCTGTATTATATGGTGCAGCTCTAGGAACTTACTACTCAGAGTGGGACTCGTGGACCTGCAGCAATCACGTTACATGGGCACTTTCTAGAATCTCAGCTCTACTCCAAACTTTCTGAATCAATCTGCATTTTAACAAGATTTTCCAGAAGATTCTTGTACACATGAAAGTTTGGTAAGCAGTATTCTGGAATGATGACCTCCCCATACACTTATTTGGAGGATACTGAGATAATAAGAGGGACCAGACCAGGGATGGCTGAGGTGTGAGGAGCAGATAGACCAAGTAAGGCAAGTCTTGGAGTCAGCTGACTGAGGAGATCCAGGTAAGTGGTGAGTCTGTCAGGGATGTTTGATAGCTAGATACATTAGATCATAATATCAGGGGATTTTGGAGTCTAGCAATGAGTTGATATGTCAGTAGTCCAGAAATAGGCAAGAAATGGATAGTCTAGCAAGTAGATTGAACATACATAGTCTCTCAGGAGTGTAGCAGCAGAAATGAGCAGAAGTTCAGGGTGGAGGTTATAAGGGACAAAATGGAGCAGGGATTCAGCCATAGGAGGCTAAGGGTTAGGGGTTAAGACTTGTCCCTAGGAGATGGGCCTTGACCCATGAGACTGGGATACCAGGCATGGCGCCTAGGCACACTCTCCCAGATAACAGGTTCAGGATAGATTCTTAATAGTCGAAACTAAAGTGCAAACGAGATTTGATTAAGAAAATAGAGCCTTATAGAAACTGACAGGGTTCGGTGAGACCAGCAACATAAGGATGCTGAGATGCTAAGCTGTGGGACTCTGGGTATTTATTTCCTTTAACTAGGGATCATATTGGTCCATAATCTTAGTTCTGTTGACAGGAATCCAGGCCACCCAAAATAATCAAAGGTAACCAAAAGCCAGCCTGCCTTTATTTTTGCCTAGACTTAGAACTATTAATTTATTGCTTCCTGCCAGGATAGACTTGAACAAACAGCTCAAAATTAGATGAGTTTCCATGACATTGTTAAACTGCTCCGGGTATAATAGATGTGCTTAAAAATGAGTACTCTCTGAAAAATCCCTCAAATTAGTTTGAAGCACTGTGATTTTACTATTTTCTATCAGCTTTTTCTTAAAAAGTTGAAGACACCCTTCAGAAAACATACTGCATTTGCTTAAAAATGTGTTGCCTCTCCTTAAGCATTAGAAATCCAAGCCCAAAACTTGTCTTAGATCTTTTCACTGAGAACCTTGTGTAGAAATTATACATGTGTTCTTATTTAATTGGTATATTATATAATTTCCCAAAGCTCTAAAACAATTTAAAAATTTTTTCTTCCGAGCCCCAAAGGAGATGCCAATATTCTTTTGATCTGTCAATATTTTCCTTAGTTCAGTCTTTTCAAGTCATGTACAAGTACATTTTCTCTTGAGTTTAGTTAATAACCTTTATGCATCTGTTCTTTTTCTAGCAGAAAGAGAGATTGGAACCCATATCTTGGTTGATTTCTACATACCTAGTTCTCTTGTGTTATTTATGTAATTATTGTACAGGCTACAACACTATAGTTTAGCTACTGTGTTCCACAGTACTATGCTCATGGAATTTTCTCCCTATCCCCACTCTGAATTGTTGAATTGTACCATTTGTCAGTGTAATGCATTGAAGCCTCCTAGAGCCTTTATGGTAGAGAGTACGGGTAGTATTTGTTTCTTCTCAAGGAGTGATATCCTGTATTCTGTGGCTCTTTAAAGAGAATTTACATATAATACAGGTAGTTTTTTGATACCCTTTTTCCATAAACTAAGGAGTTGTTGCTGGTAGTTAAAGCATCTGTATAGGTAAAGAAGATCCCCTGAGCCTCCTTGGCTATACCTACCTATATTCACTTGCTCCAGTAGAATGACCATGAACTTTGCTGCAGTTCAATTTCAGATCCCATATCACCTTTACCACTTGATTACTGTGAATCTGGGACAAGTCTCTCCTATAAAATGAAGATAATACTTAAGGGTCTTTGTGTGAATTAAGAGAGGGCAGTGCATGTTAAAGGACCTGGTCAGTAGAAAGTGTTCCCTAAGTGTCTGGTTCACCAGTCCCACTGCTTTTTCAGCACCCTTTTTCCTTTCTTGGCTCTCTTCAATGTCCATATCTGTTCTCTGCTTCCTTCCCTAGTCACCTCCCTAGCCAGAATAATATGTCCTTTATAATGGCAGGGATTTTATTCTGCTTTTCCACTGAATCCCTTACATCTGGAACAGTGCCAGACATGTAGTAAATTTTGGTTGTATGAGTGAATCGCTGCTTTTAATGATCACCATGGCTATCTCTTCTGTTCTCTTCTCTTTTTACCTTTCTACTTTTCTTTTTTCTTGAATCTTCTTTTGTCTTCTTCCTAAGAGAACATTGATCTTTATAAACATTTCCAGCCAATAGAAGCAGTTATTTCCTTTGTTAAGGAAGCTGACTCATTAGAGTATATTGTATGTGTTCTTCAAGTCTTCTTAGCCATATTCATTGTCTGAGACTACCAACAAAATTGTTCGATATCCAGAGCCATTCTAAAGCCTAAGTGTCCCAGAAGACTTCCTTAGACTTCTAGTGAGCAGCTTGGTTTTGCTAGACACTATGTCAGGCATTGTTAATGTTAAAATGAGATCATTTTCTCCCTGCCTTGAGGTTTTTATTTAACATTTTTATTGTGACATAATTTACATGCTATGAAATTCACCGGTTTAAAGTGTACATTTCAGTTTTTTAAAATATATTCAGAATTTTACATCCATCACCACAATCTAAGTTTAAACATTTCGTCACCTCAAAAGAAACCCTTACCCATTAGCAGCTACTCCCCATTCCCACCTCCTTCGACAAGCACAAATCTTTCTGTCTCCAGATTTGCCTGTTCTGGACATTTCAGATAAATGGAATCATGCAATACATGGCCTTTTGTCTGGCTTCTTTCATTTAGCGTAATGTTTTCAGAGTTCATCCAATATTGCAGCTTGTGTCAGTACTTCATTCTTTTTTATGACTGAATAATATTCTGTTGTGGATATACCACATTTTGTCTTTCTAGTCATGATTGGTGGACATTTGGATTGTTTCTGCTTTTTGGCTATTATGAATAATGCTATGAATATTTGTGTACAAGTTTTGCATGTACTTATATTTTCGTTTCTCCTGGGAAGAAATCTAGAAGAAGAATTACAGAGTCAAATGATAACTTTCTGTTTAATATTTTGAGGAACTACCAAATTGTTTTCCAAAATAGCTGTTGTCCAAAGTGGCTGCATTGTTTTATATTTCTACCAACAATGATTAAGGATTTCAATTTCTCTGCATCTTCCCTAATACCAGTTTTTTTTATTATTGTCATCCCAGTGGATGTAAGGTGGCATCTCATTGTGGCTTTGATTCGCATTTTCCTAATGACTAATTATATTGAACATCTTTTATGGGCTTGTTGAACATTTATATATCTCCTTTGGAGAAAATGTCTTTTCAAAACCTTCACTCTTTTTTAATTGGGTTATTTCTTTGTTTATTATTGAGTTATAAGCATTCTTTATATATTCTGAATGCAAATCCCCCATCAGATATATGATTTGTACATATTTTTCTCATTCTATGGATTGTCCTTTCACTTTCTTCATGGTATTGTAGCATAAAAGTTTTTAAGTTTGATGTAGTCCAGTGCTTCTGTTTTTTCCTTTGGTTGCTTGTGTTTTTGGTATTTATTTAAGAAATCACTGCTTAACCCAAGGTTACAGAGATTTGGTTTTAGTTCTTACATTTATTTCTGTGATCCATTTTGAGTTAATTTTTTTGTGTTGCGTGAGGTGGGAGTCTAGCTTCATTTTTTACAAGTAGGTATCTAGTTTGTCCCAGCACTATTTGTTGATAAGATTATTCTTTTTCCATTTAATTATCTTGATGTTTAAAGTCAATTGATCATAGATGTGTGGGTTTCTTTTTGTACTCTCAATTCTATTCCATTGATGTGTATGTCTATCTTTATGCCAGTACCATACTGTCTTGGTTACTGTAGCTTTGTAGTGAGGTGCTGAGTATTTAAACTAATTATAGTCATTTTACTTGAACTATTTGCCATTTATGTCTGATGATGCAGCATAATTATCATTAAATATGCCATATTAACTCTTTAATAAGTTTTATTTGATCATAACAGTAAGCCATATGCATTTAAGTTCAGTTTTCATAGATGATTGCTTATGTACTTTGGTTTTTTGCTAATGCAGCATCCAAAAATAATTAAAGCCATTGGTTGTAATTCACCTGCCATTACCTTTAAAATGGCTTTTAAGGGCAGTTGTGAGATTATCTTTTCATGGCTATTTGCCTTTGAATATTCTTTCTACAAAAAAGGGTAACTCGAATTGTTCTTCTCATTCTTTATAATTTATAGATTTTGCATGCTGAAACTTCTCAACCAGAAGAAAGGGCCATCACAGTGTCCTTTGTGTAAGAATGATATAACCAAAAGGTATACAATTTGGGTAGTGATGGGAGGATGGAAGCAACAACAGCAGTAAAAAAGTAGAAATTCCTGAATAATGTAGCTGTGTTCCTATCAAACCATTCCTCAGTAGAAAATGTTTAAAAAAGTGTTTAGCTGATAGAGTAAATTATTTCTTAAGGCATTTTCTTGAAAGTTTTATGGTACCTCTGCCTTAGACAGGTATTAGCAATTCACTGCCTTTTTCTAATGCTTCTGGTCAATGCTAGAACTTGCAGTCTTATCTAAAGTAGGACTGTACCACCCTGCCCCCATCGTCTTCTGATCCTGCTTTTAATTTTCTTCCTTGAATTTATTTCTATTTAATTATTTACATACACACAATGTATTTACATACCGTGCATCCCTCCGGACAGGACCTAAGTTCTCTTAGGACATTGGCTTTGGTCTGTCTCAATCAACACTTTTTCCAGTATTTGGCACATATTAGTTGCTCACATGTTTAAAGGAATAAATGAATAATATTGTCTTACAGCTTTACTAAATGAAAATCTTTGGGCATTGTCTGTCATCATTTGACAGAAATCCTTGAGAGCTAGTGGGAAGTTGGGTAGATAGGGTTCATATGTTAAGAATAATAAGTTCTCTGTGCACTGGATTTATACCTACTATGGATTTAGAGTGCCATTATTTTAGATAGCTGTAGGCTTTCGGAAGACTTGAATGACAAAAAAAAATTATAAAAATCTATTTAATATCAATAATGTTTTGATTATAGTGTAAAGTCACTGAAAGCTCTGTTCTTTGAATATAGTTTTTCTCCTGTTGCTGCATCTTTTTTAATTGTTTACATGTCTTTCCTTATTTTGTCCTTAAAAAGTTGATAATTACTTGCTAAGTGTATCTCTCAAACAATTTAATTTCAGAAGCCTACAAGAAAGTACAAGATTTAGTCAACTTGTTGAAGAGCTATTGAAAATCATTCATGCTTTTGAGCTTGACACGGGATTGCAGTGTAAGTGTTGTTTAGCTCCAGGGGCCAGTGCTCAAGTGGCTGTCCATTAAAACTCAGGAGGAAGTTTACACAATTATTTTCTCTGAATGGGTGATAAGACCTTTTGATTTAGTTTAATTTTAGCTCTTTATCTGTAATCTATCTTTTAAATCATTCCCACTGGTCTCACACTTTATTGATCATAAGATTCACATTTTTCACATTGAGGGCAACTTACCATCAATGGTGTGTCATTGTTTAATTTAGTGTTTTTTATTGGTAGTATAGAAAATAATGGTACTTCTTACATGGTTGGTATCTTAGAGTCAGTGAAATGCGATTTAATAGGCAAACTTTTTAGTATTGAGGTGAGGAAAAAGGAGTAGAAATAACTTTGATGGTCTATGTATTTGTTTCCTGGGAGCAGAATTTCCAAAGTTGATTTAGAAAATATTATAGATTGGCCCTTCTCTTATAGGAAGTGACCTCTTACAGGAAGTTTACCCAAACTTTTCCTTCAGACTCTCACAAGGTATAACATGACCCCAGGAAGAAATGTGACCCTGCAGTGCCATAGGCCAGACAATATACTTGAGAATGTGATGTTTATTCCACAGAAAATAAGTACTAGAAGACCCATGCAGCACCGGAAACTAGAAAGAAAGTGGGTGGATGTCTCCCTTTGGAAAATGACTATCAGTAACACTGGGAGCCACAGCTGTGTCTGCTATTAGACAAAGGCTCCTTTCTTGGCCTTGCACCCGAGTAATTGTGGTTTCCCCAGGTTCTACATCGAGCGATTATACCAAGGTTAACCTCATCTGACTAGGTCTGGCTGTCATGTTTCTGGTTATTATGGAGACTTTCCTGGCTGAAGCCTAGTGTAGCCAGGAGTCTCTAAATGGATCCAGGCCCCGCAGCTGATCAGGGAGACGATGAATGTTTGATCAAGTTAGACCCACTGATTTCTTAACAGTTTCCTATAGAACTGGCATTCCTCGCTCTATCTAGAGCTTTTCCAGGACAAAATGATAGCATTTGTTTTCTGTACTCCTCACCTGGGGCAGGTGACAGAACTGGGCATAAAGATTAATAAAATATTTATTTATGCAACATAGAACAGTGTCTTTTCTCTACCAATATACCATTTCTGTCATAAGTCAAACTTCAAAAAAATTTTTTTTAGCTAAACTTTAATGCATTTTTTTAATATAACTAAGAGCATACACAGGATTTCTCTTGGTGTTTTGATTACAGTGAATACATTTTTTAACTCTGAAAATAATGTTTTTCCTTGTAATTCACAGTTGCAAACAGTTACAACTTTTCAAAAAAGGAAAATAACTCTCCTGAACATCTAAATGAAGAAGTTTCTATCATCCAAAGTTTGGGCTACCGAAACCGTGCCAAAAGACTTCGACAGAGTGAACTTGAAAATTCTACCTTGGTAAAGCCATTTTCATTTATTCTGGTAACATCTCTTTATTGAGCATTGTGAATTAGTGAGTTAGTGATTTATATAAAAAGTCAGTAAACAAGGTAAGATGGTAAATTAAGTGGTTGGGCAAATGTTCTAATGAAGAAGGATTAGAGGAATTGAGAGAAGGTCTATGTGCCCAGTATGGGCAAAAGACCTTACAGGCCAGGCCTTTCCTCTACTTTAAGTGCTTTATCCATTCTCGTGCTTGTCTAAAATAGCCACAAGGTCACTGATGGTTTTAAGCTTGCTAGTTTTTAAAATAATCATCTTATGGCAATTCTCCAGGCATGAGGGAAGTATCTTCTATTTTATTTCTTTTGAAAGTTGCCTGAAAAGAAAATCAGTTTTAACATTTGAAAATTGCTTCAATTTAAAACGTGTAATTGTCACACACAAAAAGGCAGTGATTTGCACTGTTGTTACTCATATGCGAATGGACAATAGAGATCTCAAAGATAATAATTCTTATAGTACCAGCATTCATTTTTCAGTAGATGCTGAAGGGCTCTAAGAGAAGAAGGAAAGCTTTATTAGAGTAATGTTATGTTTTTAAATATTCTTTCTTGTACCGAATGTTCTTAAGACTTCTGGATTTTTAGTATTTTTATTCTTTTTTAAAAATTTATTTTATTTTAGTTGCCAACACTGTTATTAGATATGATTGGAAATGTGTACTAAATGAATCTTATTCTTTTTCTATAATATAAAGTATTAGCTTCAAAATATGCATTTCTTAGAAAAATTTAAAACAACAGAGAGAAGAAAAAGTATTCAAACCACACAGAACTTAACACATGTTGGCGTGTAGTTTGCCAAGTGTGTTTTCCAGGTATCATAAATTTCAGCTAATTAATTACAGTCTATTTGTTTTGTCCATGACCTTGAGTTTCTCTCCAGGTTAAAAAAAAAGAAAATCAAAGAACTAGCCAATAATTAGTCAATCATTCTTTATTGCTTAGCAGGAAACCAGTCTTAGCGTCCAACTCTCTAACCTTGGAATTGTGAGATCTCTGAGGACAAAGCAACAGATACAACCTCAGAATAAGTTTGTCTACATTGAATTGGGTAAGAGTCTCAGATTTAGTAAGTTTAGAGCAATAGTTGTTGGATTCTTTGTTTTACAGCTTTACCAAAAACCTTGGTCATAATTTACACAGTGGCAGAGAGCTTTGGGAAGTGGAAAAAAATAATTTTACTAGCTTTATGGTATGTTTATAAATAATGTAAAAGATGCAGCTCTCATCTTAAAGAACCTTTCTTTATAAAGAGAGCAAAAGAAAGATGTCCAGTTACAAGTATGTGTAAATAAATATATAGCAGTTCCTCAAATAATTCTTCTGTTTTTATTATGACGTTGAGATGCTATTGGAACTTAACTCTCTTTTGTATCAGTTAGTCTATAGTAAAATTGGTTTCGGATATGTTTTGTTCTGCTTAAAGTTGCAGAACCTGTTGACGACATTAAGTGAGGACTCACTCCACATTGGAAAGATGGAGATTTGGGATAAGAAAGAACATGATGGGTTGGCTACAGCATTTGAAAGGATCCAATATAAATTATATTAGACTAGAAGACTTTTAAGAAAAGCTGAGCTTAGTTTAGACAGTTTTCTCTAATCATTTTATCTTTTAGAACATATTAACAAGTGGAGAGAGGGGCCCTTCTTTGGCCTCACAAGCGCCACCATATGTTTACCATAGCACTTACCAGATTTTCTTGAAATTATTTGTATGTCTTTTCCCTTCCTAAAGTTCCTAGACCGTATCATAAAAACAATCAAAATGACTATAATAGCAAATATTTATGAGTACTTAATGCAGTCTAGACACTGTTGTATTTTACTTGTATAACTGATTGAAATGCATGACAAACCTCAGAGGTTGTTACTATTGTTATACTTATTCTCCAGCTGAAGAAATTAAGGCACAGAGAGGTTAAGAAATTTTGCCAAGGTTGTAAAACTAGTAAGTGGCAGAGCCATGATTCAAATCTAGGAATTCAGGCTTCAGAGCCAATGCTTATAATCACTTCTCTGTATTGCCTGACTTATGTATCATTGTGCCTGCCATATAGTGAGAGCTGGGTAAATATTTCTTGAATGAATATCTGTCTTGTAAAAAGTATGTTTTTTGAGTTTAACTCTTTCAATAAAAGTCCTTTTATTGACTTGTTATTTGGGGGTATCTGGGGAAATTTTTTAGGATCCGATTCTTCTGAAGAAACAGTTAATAAAGCAAGTTCTTGCAGGTGAGTCAGAGAACCTTTGTCTATGAAGCTAGCATTTTTGTATTTAGTTAATATTAACGATTGGTATTTCTTTAGAATTATGGCACTGAAATAGACCATTTACTTAAATCTCCTCATTTTTTAAAATTGTTTATTGGGGTAACATTGGTTAATACAATTATATAATTTTCAGGTGTACATCATAATTTGACATCTGTATATTCTATTGTGTATAAAATCTCCTCATTTTATAGCTGAGAAAATACCTTTTTTGCTTGATTTCCTAGTAAAGAGTCCAAAAGTTTAAAATAACAAAAATCTGCAGAGACTCGCCTCCACCAGAGGGTTCTGCTGTGTTCTAGCTTAGTTCCTCATGTACAGTAGTATCAACACAGTGGTAATTGTGGCTGATGAAAATATTCAAGGACTCCATTTTCAGTTCTTTCCTTCCTCTGTTCCTTAATTCCATCTATTCCTCAAACTTTGTCTACATAAATTATACAATAACCTACAAGCAGCCCTTAACTGTGTTACCTGTCAAATTGCTTTCCTTAGGAATTATTGCTTGACCTTAGTATCTGTGATGGCTTGTCTAAATTATGATGGTGTCCTTGCCAATCAGATTTTGTTTGCAAATGACTTTTTCTTAATCTCTCAATTGGGAGGAAATGGTTTTTAGCCTGTAAAGAAGCACAGAAGGCAGAGTTACAGAATGGCGCATTCTTTGCGTTCTGTTGGGATGTCTGCTCCACCCTAGTGCTCCCTTTGTTTAGATCTTTGTTCTTGCTCATTAAGATATACTTTTAAGTTTTGTGTGTTTTTGCTTTGCTGTATTTTTGGCTGCTGTTTGTTGTTTAAATGGGCTATCTTTTAAGTTTTGGCTTTCTTTGGCATGTCCATAAAACAATGCTCTATACTCCTGCTCTGATTTTTGTGACTATGTATTCTCAGTCTAAGTGAATCAAATTGATCAACTTACCGCAACCCTACCCAGAGGAGCTAAAATACTTGATCTTGCTCATTTGACAGCTCTTTGAGTATATAATTAGTGTTTCTCATTAAGGCTTCTGTCTTTTCTCTGTAGTGTGGGAGATCACGAATTGTTACAGATCATCCCTCAAGGAGCCAAGGCTGAAGCCAGTTTGAATCCTGCAAAAAAGGATAATGGCAAGTCTTCTCAACATAACAGGCACTGAAGAGAGAATGAGTAGATACAGAACTGTAATTAGATTATTCTGAAGGCCATTTGGGACATTTATAATTTACAACATCTCTTGGCAGAGTTAGAATATCGTTCTTTCTCAGATGTTATGGTACAGTCTGATCTATTTCAGTTGTATTCGACTGATATGATTATAATAGTAACCTATGTAACTGGTCGTTGACTTTTAATTGGTGTGTTTATATTTCTTCTTTTGCGTACTGGTATTTAAATAAAGGGAATATGAGTCCGAAGATAAAACAGAGCACTGTATGATGTCCAAACAGTCTGCTTTTAATTCACTGTTAGAGGTTAGGGAAATAGGAGGTGTGGTTTATGAGTAGGGGAAATTCTGAAATTAAAATTTTAATTGTCTCAGGTGGAACTAATGAGAATCTAGATAAATAGGAATTAAGTAAAAGAGTATAAGTTACATCTTTTGTATACTTGGTTGTTTAAGAGGTTAGTTTCTCTAAAATTAGCTAGTTTCATTTCCACTCCTAAGTTGTATTAAGTGCACTTTTTCATGATAATTCAGTTGTTAATCACCTGTTGTTTTTGTATATCTTCAGATGCTTGTGAGTTTTCTGAGGATATAACGAATATTGAACATCGTAAATCCAGTAATAACGATTTGACTACCACTGAGAAGCATGCAGCTGAGAAGCATCCAGAAAAATATCAGGGTAGTTCTGTTTCAAACTTGCATGTGGAGCCATGTGGCACAAATGCTCATGCCAGCTCTTTACAGCATGAGAACAGTTTATTATACACTAAAGACAGAATGAATGTAGAAAAGACTGACTTCTGTAATAAAAGCAAACAGCCTGGCTTAGCAAGGAGCCAACAGAACAGATGGGTTGAAACTAAGGAAACATGTAACGATATACAGACTTCCAGCACAGAGAAAAAGGTAGTTCTGAATGCTGATCCCCTGAATGGGAGAATAGAACTGAATAAGCAGAAACCTCCATGCTCTGACAGTCCTAGAGATTCTCAAGATATTTCTTGGATAACACGGAATAGTAGCATACAGAAAGTTAATGAGTGGTTTTCCAGACGTGATGAAATATTAACTTCTGATGTCTCACCTGATGGGAGGTCTGAATCAAATGTGGTAGAAGTTCCAAATGAAGTAGATGGATACTCTGGTGCTTCAGAGAAAATAGCTTTAAAGGCCAATGATCCTCATGGTGCTTTAATGTGCGAAAGAGTTCACTCCAAACTGGTAGAAAGTAATATTGAAGATAAAATATTTGGGAAAACATATCGGAGGAAAGCAAGCCTCCCTAACTTGAGCCACATAACTGAAAATCTAATTACAGGAGCATCTGCTATAGAACCTCAGATAACACAAGAGTATCCCCTCACAAATAAACTAAAGCGTAAAAGGAGAACTACATCAGGCCTTCATCCTGAGGATTTTATCAAGAAAATAGATTTGGCAGTTGTTCAGAAAACTCCGGAAAACATAATTGAGGAAACTGACCAAATAGAGCAGAATGGTCATGTGATGAATAGTACTAATAATGGTCATGAGAATGAAACAAAAGGTGATTATGTTCAGAAGAAGAAAAATACAAACCCAACAGAATCATTGGAAAAAGAATCTACTTTCAAAACTAAAGCTGAACCTATATGCAGCAGCATAAGCAATATGGAACTAGAATTAAATATCCACAGTTCAAAAGCAGTTAAGAAGAATAGGCTGAGGAGGAAGTCCTCTACCAGGCATATTCATGCACTTGAACTAGTAGTCAATAGAAATCCAAGCCCACCTAATCATACTGAACTACAAATTGATAGTTGTTCTAGCAGTGAAGAGCTGAAGGAAAAAAATTCTGACCAAATGCCAGTCAGACACAGCAAAAAACTTCAATTCATAGAAGATAAAGAATCTTCAACTGGAGCCAAGAAGAATAACAAGCCAAATGAGACAATCAATAAAAGACTTGCCAGTGATGCTTTTCCAGAATTAAATGTAACAAACATACCTGGTTTTTTTACTAATGGTTCAAGTTCTAATAAACTTCAAGAGTTTGTCAATCCTAGCCTTCAAAGAGAAGAAATAAAAGAGAACCTAGGAACAATTCAAGTGTCTAATAGTACCAAGGACCCCAAAATTTTGATCTTCGGTGAAGGAAGAGGTTCACAAACTGATCGATCTACAGAGAGTACCAGTATTTTATTGGTGCCTGAAACAGATTATGGCACTCAAGATAGTATCTCATTACTGGAACCTGACATCCCAGAGAGGGTAAAGACAGCACCAAACCATCATGCAGCAATTAAAAACCCCAGAGAACTTATTCATGGTTGTTCTGAAGATACTAGAAATGATGCAGAGGGCTTTAAAGATCCATTGAGATGTGAAGTTAACTACACTCAGAAGACAAACATTGAAATAGAAGAGAATGAACTTGATACGCAGTATTTACAGAATACATTCAAGGTTTCAAAGCGTCAGTCATTTGCTTTGTTTTCAAACCCAGGAAATCTAGAAAAGGAATGTGCAACAGGCTATGCCTACTCCAAGTCCTTGAGGAAACAAAGTCCAAAAGTCACTCTTGAATGTGACCGAAAAGAAAATCAGGGAAAGAAAGAGTCTAACGTCAAGCATGTGCAGGCAGTTTATACAACTGTAGGCTTTCCTGTGGTTTGTGAGAAAGAAAAAAAGCCAGGAGATTATGCTAAATATGGCATAAAAGAAGTCTCTAGGCTTTGTCAGTCATTTCAGTTCAGAGAAAATGAAACTGAACTCACTATTGCAAATAAACTTGGAATTTCACAAAACCCATATCATATGCCATCCATTTCTCCCATCAAGTCATCTGTTAAAACTACATGTAAGAAAAATCTGTCAGAGGAAAAGTTTGAAGAACATTCAATATCCCCTGAAAGAACAATAGGAAATGAGACCATCATTCAAAGTACAGTGGGCACAATTAGCCAAAATAACATTAGAGAAAGCACTTTTAAAGAAGGCAGCTCAAGCAGTATTTATGAAGCAGGTTCCAGTACTAACGAACTAGGCTCTAGTGTCAATGAAGTAGGTTCCAGTGGTGAAAACATTCAAGCAGAACTAAGTAGAAACAGAGGACCAAAATTAAATGCTGTGCTTCAGTTGGGTCTCATGCAGCCTGAAGTCTATAAGCAAAGCCTTCCTCTAAGTAATTGTAAACATCCTGAAATAAAAAGGCAAGGAGAAAATGAAGGAGTAGTTCAGGCTGTTAATGCAGATGTCTCTCTATGTCAGATTTCAGATAACTTAGAGCAACCTATGGGAAACAGTAATGCTTCTCAGGTTTGTTCTGAGACACCGGATGACCTGTTAAATGATGACAAAATAAAAGAGAATATCGGCTTTGATGAAAGTGGCATTAAGGAAAGATCTGCTGTTTTTAGCAAAAGTGTCCAGAAAGGAGAATTCAAAAGGAGCCCTAGTCCCTTAGCCCATACAAGTTTGTCTCAAGGTCGCCGAAGAGGGGCTAGGAAATTAGAGTCCTCAGAAGAGGATGTGTCTAGTGAGGATGAAGAGCTTCCCTGCTTTCAACACTTATTGTTTGGTAAAGTCACCAAAGTACCATCTTCATCTACCAGATATAATGCTGTTGCCACAGACGGTCTATCTAAGAAAACAGAGGAGAACCTGGTATCACTGAAGAATAGTTTAAATGACAGCAGTAACCGGATAGCATCAGCAAAGGCATCCCAGGAACATCACCTCAGTGAGGAAGCGAGATGTTCTAGTAGCTTATTTTCCTCACAACACAGTGCATCGGAAGACTTGATTGCTAATCCGAACACCCAGGATCCTTTCTTGATGTTTGATCCTCCTTCCAAACAAGTGAGGCATCAGTCTGAAAACCAGGAAGTTCTGAGTGACAAGGAATTGGTTTCAGATGATGATGAAAGGGAAACTGGCCCAGAAGAATATAATCAAGAAGAGCAGAGTGTGGATTCAAACTTAGGTATTAGAACCATCTGTTTTATAGAAATGCACTAAATATTTGTGTCTTTGGGGGAGTACATTTTATGAGTTTCCAAGTACAGTTAAAGTAACTGCTTCTTAAACTTTTATACATGTTCCTCCTAAGGTGCTTTTTCTTAAAAGTTTTTCACCTAGCCAGAACATCTCTATTTGAACATGATTTAATGCCCTAATGGTTGGTGGACTTGCTTCTAGTTTTCATTGTTTTGATATATAGAGGACATCTGGGTGTCCCAAAACAAGGAATGTAATCATTTTGCATGACATTAAAGTGATATTTGTCCTGCCAATGGGAATAGCCAGATACCACAAGTTGCAGTATTTGCTGTCTATTTACATCTGTATCTCTATTTTTATTATCATTAAAGATGAAGCAGCATCTGAGTATGAGAATGAAACTAGCCTCTCTGGAGAATGTTCAAGGCTGTCTTCTCAGAGCGATATTTTAACCACTCAGGTAAAGAGCATGTGTGGCTGTGTCTAGTGTCCTCTGCAGTCAGTAGAATTCATCCCACATTCTTACATTTGGTTATATCATTCCTTAGAATCAATAGTATAACAGTTGTGTGTTCGGTACCTTGTCTCCTCAAATTAGATTGTGATCAACTGGATAGAACTCATGCATGAACTCATGCTACTTTTTATTTGATATACACACATACATGCATACCACTTAGCTCACTGCAGACCACTGAACACTGGATTTAGTGAATAAGCTAAACTTTCAAAACTTATTTGTCCTGTAGCAAGGACATATGAAAGCACTGCTGTATCAAAGGAGAGTCCCGTATTCCACTTTGGTATACTAATGCATTAGCAGTGCAAGTGAGATAGTGAGGAATCACCTGTTCCTGACAGGAGATGTGTTATGGGTGGGGATTCCGAAGGAGACATTCAAGCTGGGCCTTGAAAGATGAGAAATTTTCTAAGAGGAAAGAGAAGGGAGGCAGCAATAGAGGCAAAGGAACAGAGGCATGGAATGCTCAGGAAAGACAGAGTTGTACTGTGTGACTGGAAAATGGCATGTGGGTGGTTTGGGAGGAAAATAAGAGATAATAAGATCAGGGTATGAAGGGCTTTTTGAATATTATGCTTAGGAATTTGAACTTTGTCCTGAAGGTGATAATGAGTAATAATTATATAATTTTCAGAAAGTAATTTATCTGAGCAGTGGTATACCACTGAGGTCCTTATGAAAGAAAGAGGCATGATAAATGTGGCTTTTAAGGAACTTCCACAGTAAGGTAGCTGTATGAAAAGTAGAATTCTGAGTAGCATATTGGGAAATAGAAGAGTAGGACTAATTTTAGAAACACTTAAGAATTGGAATCAAGAAAACTTGGTAAGCAATTTGGTTTTGGTCTCCCAAATGTATCTGGCCAATTGCTTACAGGGAATCATTTAAGTTATAAAGTAATTCCTTTGAGAAAACCCAAAGGAAACTTATCTAACTATAATTCTCCCCTTTACTATTTTTTCTGATTTCTCTAACCTGTTTAATGGCCACATAAAGGTTAGTTGTGATGGTCGTGGCAGCAGTGACTAGTACAGCTTCTGCAGCTTATGGATGTCTGTATGGTTTCCTTCCAAACTGACTGAGGCCATCCCTTTTTGATCAGTGATGGAACTACTCAAGAGCACCACGTGGTGGCAATGGCGCTGCCGCGGACGTGGGCAGCCAGACAGTCTCAGGGCCACACTGGAAGCCATTCATTGTGAATACATTTTCTGGTCATAAAAAGCTCCTGAAAACTATGAGCTCAGTGTAGCAAGAGAGAGTAGATGGCTAGTTTTTAGTAGAGGGCAAAGTCACAAAGTCATTTTCAAGGATGAGAAGAAGAAATGGAGTGTGAAACAATTTGTTTCCCCAGGGGTTGCTGGCAACCATTGATGTTCCTGCTAAAAAGTAATGAAGAAATGAATATTCTGGTAATCTTACCAGATACTTTGCTTATCAAAAACCTTAGACTTAGCAGATTTCTTTTTGAAATGGAAAAATAAACATTAAGAGCCCTATAAGCAGGAAAGGTTTTCTGAGTTGAAAACAATAACTGTCTTTACAGGCTTTCCTCAGGCTCTTTCTGTTGGATCGTGCCCTCTAACAGGTCCTTCTGTGACTTTCTCTAGGTGCCCTGTCCCCATCTAGAATGGCAGCACCATGAGGGCTATATTTGCAGCACTAGCACAGTGTCTGACATAAAATAGATGGTCAACAAATAGTTGTTGAATGAACAAATAGATAAATTAATGAATTAGCTTTTTGCTGTTTCTGTTAGAGACTAAACGTTCAAAGAATCCCAGAAAACTAAGTCCTCACAAGCCAGAAATCAGACATTTTTATATGGACTAACTCAAATCTCTTATAAGTCTCACAATATCAAATCTTTGTAACACAGCCAATGTAAAACATGAACAGAGTCATGCTAATTTTAAATATCAGAAGTGTTTAAGCACCTTAATTTGTTTTTGCTTCCAAGCTTTAAAGAAACCAACTTCAAAAGGACATCACAATAAAGCAGTCTGTTTGGGAGAGTTTGAGGAAATCTTTTTTCCTCAAACGTCATTCTGTAATTTCATGGGCTTTAATTGCATGAATATGGTTGGATTAAAAGGTATTCATCCAGAACTCATAATTTCATACTAGATGATTTTTAATTCCTGTGCTAAAATTAATTGGTGTGACATATTCTTATGTTCTGGCAAGTTTCTACAAGAATGTAACTTTCTTGGTGTCATTTATTGTGTTTGCAGCAGAGGGATACCATGCAAGATAATCTGATAAAGCTCCAGCAGGAAATGGCCGAACTGGAAGCGGTGTTAGAGCAGCACGGGAGCCAGCCTAACATGTCCCCTCCCCTCATAGCTGATTCTTGTGCCCCTGAAGAGCTGCTAAATCCGGAACAAAACACATCAGAAAAAGGTATGTTATATTGACCAAATTCTTCTTAAGCAAAATTCTTCTCCTCCCTAAGCCTTTATCTCCTGAGAAGGATAGGCATAGTTTCAACATTTTATAATCTTTGCTCAGTATATATTTGCTGAGTCACTCCAGGAGAATTTTAGAGCTTTTGTTCTAGTCCCTGCCAGCAACTAATTTACCATTCAGAGAGACCAAGACAGTCATTAAGTGTCATTGTCTGACTGAGTACCCACAATGAGTAGATGCTATGGGGAACCCATAGGAAGCTGAGTGTAATGAGGGAGATTGGAAATAGGTAACCCTCATTATTTTAGATAGCTTAAAAAAAAAACCACTCAGACATATTCCTTGTAATACAGGTGTCAGATCACAAAGCCCTATTTCATGTGCTTTCTGGTTTATAGGAAAAGATACTCTGCTTCAGAAACAATCACAGAGAGCCCAATTATGCATCAGAGTCAGATGCTTTATCACAACGTTGTAATTATTAACAAGGCCAGATGGACCTCTGAGAGGAGGCATTTGGATTACCCAGGCAGGTGGAGTTATCAGAGCTGACTTCCTGTAAGAAGTGAGCACTGAGATGAGGAATAAATAACGTGGCATAAGTGAAGGAAAGTAAGATGAAATTTTGAATATTTAATTGGAAAGAGAATTATAAAGGACAGCACATTAGGTAGATTTTTAAATAGGGTAGATACTTAGATAAATGAGAGGCTAGGCACAGGCATGGGTTCCGGGGAGGAGCTGGTGCTTAGGAGGAGGTAGGTGTGGTGAGCCCTCCCAAGGGTTCTTCACTACTATCTCAGTGATACCTACCTAGCTAACTTAGCGTTACAGTTCCTTCTTCATCACTTTCTTCCCTAGTCCTAATGGAGGCCCTAGGACCTTCCTTTGAATCTTTCTAGGAACTCAAGCCTTAATTATTCAGAACGGTGGCCTTGCCAGGAGTGTGCCTTGCAGTATTTTTATGTTCAGGGAGAAACAGTAGTTCATGCATGAGAAACTAGGAACTCTGTTGCTATGGCAGTGGTTCAAATGTATTTCCTTAAATGCTTTCTTTGTAACTGTATCTTCATTTAGTTCATCTCCCAGATAATGAAGCCCAAAGTCTAGTCCCTAGCATAATTCTCTTCTTTGAGGTATTTTCACCATCTTCAGTCTAAAAACAGACTAAACTTTCAATTTTAATGTACAACTTATAAATGTCTGGTTTTGAATATGTGTGTAAATCTATCTCATCTTTGGGGGTGGGTGTTTATTTTTTTCTGAAGATCTCTAGACAAATGTTTCTGTGTGGCTTGTTTTTAATTTCATAAATGCTATATTTTTATACACTTTTATCATGGATATGAGAACCTTTTTGAAAATTTCTCCTAACTCTCTATACAAAACATTTTTGTTAGAAAGTTTTACTTTATCCTTGGTAATACACTTATTTACTATTCTAGGGTTTTTACATGAAATGTCTTGCTCTCAGCATAGATCTGCCCTACTGTATATCTAAGGGTCATTCCCAAATGTGTATAATATTTTTGTGCAAATGTGTATACTGACCTATTATAAATTATGTGTACCTCCCTCTACAGGTAAAGCTATTTCATATCAGGCACTCGACTGTTTTTTTCTCCTGGATTACCTGTCATTCATAAACAAACATTAGCATTTATAATGTCATAGCCCATTATAGCAGAAGTGGTTTTCAGACACATCTGAGCTTTTTTGTCCCATAGTAAGTTCATTCCTGGAAGCACATATTAAAAATTCCTAGGCTCCTCCCCTGGAAATTCTGAACCACCTGGGTGGATGAGTTATGTGCTTTTTTAAAGCTGCATTTTATTGTGGGTTCTGTATTTTATAGTTTACCATTTCTTAAGGTCTCTCTTCTTCCCCAGTGTCTTTTCCTTTGATTCTCCCAACACTTCGCACAGTACGTAGCGCATAATAAGCAGTCAATAAATTTACTGAATGTTTGATCTGGCCCATATTGCCTACTCATGAAGAATATAACATATAACATATTAAGACCCTCAGATAAGGGAACGATTTAAAGGAGAATACAGTACTGTCTCAGTACTTGGGCTGTGGATACCTGCATTTTTGAAATAAGAATTAAGAAAAAAGAACAGAAAAGTTTCGCCCTGTAGTTTTTAGGTACCATTGAGTTATTGAATAACAATTCAGGATAGCTTATTTTCTTCTTAGCTTGACCCCATTGTAGTGAAAAGACGGACTCATACACTAAATGTTCAGGTGATGGAATGACTAATATCTGTGTTTGTGTCCGAGGCTTCCCCCCTACCCTTTCACTTCTTTTTTATAACCCTTTCAAATGGTTAATCCCGTTTGGTGTGATCTCTTAGAGACTGCACATTATCATTTACCTTATTACCCTGTATTTGGGGGGAAAGGGTACCCTTATTAAAAAGCTTTACACACTGAGTTGAAAGAAAAACCTACATGGTTAAACTGAGATTCTGCTTGCTTTAAGCAGCTCTAGCTTTAGACAGAGAGTTCTTACGTTCCTAGACACCCACAGGTCCAGAAAAGATGAGCACAAAGGAAACTATAAATAATGCATTTGAGGATTAACTCAGGAAATCAATGATTATTCCCCTCAGGCCCCCTGTGTCTTAAAACAAACAAACAAACAAACAAAAACCAGTTTAATTAATACAGCCCTTCATTTAAATTTTTCTGCCTTAGTTTATGGATTTTAGCTTTTCTGATAGAAGCTCAAAATAAGTTACAATTGTCAGTGACTTTTTCATGAATAGAAGACATTTGTAATTTTTAAGTATTTGTTTTTGCTTTTTAAAACTTTTTGCCTTTAAGCTACTTCCTAGAAAGCAGAGGACAGTAATACATTTGGAGGAATTAATAAATAAAAAAGATGTACTAATATGCCAGAGCTTTGCCTTTGGTCTGTTTTGTGTTTTTCTTTCTTGTGCCATTTCATCATTAATTCCATTTATTACTTTGGGGTTCCTTATCAGTCAGCACTTTGTTTTTTCGTGTGTGTTGGTTTTTTGGTTTGTTTTTTTCTTCAGTAATTGAAAATGTGAAGCAAAATGTCACCTGTTTTTCCATTCTCATCTGACCCCTCCCCTCTGTTTCTCCACACATGAAAAAGCTCAAACTCCCATCCTATACAGCCTTTGATGTGGAGACAGTAGAAATGGAAAAGGGAACGTGCTTTGTGCTTTCCAGTACTTAAGGGGATTTGAGTGTAATTTAGTTTGCTCTAGAGATTAAAAAAATCATTTCCCATTCTTATTTTCTTATCGTTTAAGACCAAAAAATATAAATACATGGTTTTTTTCAGCCTTGTCTCAGGTATCATTATTTATGCAGTTTTAAAGTGATCCTATTATATATTTTTTAGTTCCATTTGCTGCTGGATCACTTGTGTTTATAAAATTCTGTCTGATATGCTTGCTTAAAAACCAATTGATTGTCACAGATTACTGCTTTTGAAAAAAATTGATATACTCACCTGAAATATCACCATCAGGACAAAACAGTTGATTTCTTTGTTTTCTCATTCCATTTAAAGCAGTATTAACTTCAGAGAAAAGTAGTGCATATCCTGTAAGGCAGAATCCGGAAAGCCTTTCTGCAAACAAGTCTCAAGAATCTCTGGGTAGATCCACCAATAAAAATAGAGAACCAGGAGTGGAAAGGTAAGAAGTAGTAAATGTCAAATTGTGGTATCTAAGTAACACCTTTGCTTATATTGAACTCTTATTGTTAAATGTTTTTTACCATACTTTCTCTGGGTTTTTGTGCACAGACATTTCTAACCCCTCCTTGCCTTAGGACACTTCTTTTGCTTAATTTTTATAGGCTTTTTGGACTGTACAAGGCATGGGCGACAATATGGGAGATGCACAGTACATCTGTCCCTTCTGAAAGTCAGAATAAAGCATAGAACTAAAACCTAAACAAGCCTAGAGGCTGATGGTAGACTTCTCCAAGGCAGCCCTTGCCCTAATTGAAGTTTTTGCCTTTGTAGAAAAAATTGAGCTATTGATTTACCCCAAGAAATAGTCACAGTATCTTTAGAGTGTTTTTGCAAATCGCTGTGAGACAAGACTATATAGTACTTTTTATTTTCAAAAATACTTCACCTACTTTCTCATTTGATGTTCGCAACAACACTGAAGGTAAAAGAACAAGTTCTGGACTATTCCTATTTGATTGTTAAGGAAAACGTCTCAGAGCCATTAGAGTCACACATCTTACCACTCTAGGAAGGAAGAGGAAATCATTTATTGAGTTCCTACCAAATTTATGTATATTTTACACATTTACTTATCTTTCTGGGAATAGTGGTAAGTTGTCAATACTCTAATCATACCATCTTTTCCAAGCTTCTGGGATGTCACTGAGGATGTATTTTTGAGGCTAGGGTACTAGCACTGTGGCTATGACAGAGAAGTAAAAGATCCAGCTTCCATAGGTACTAAACCCATGTTTGGAAGTAATGATTTCGTTGCCATGCTTTAACTAATTGAACTAAGCACCCATTTAATATTCAGACCAAATACTCCTGCTCCTCTTCCTCCACCCCAGTGCACCCTAAGAAACTTCTATTAAAGAACCTACACATTGATTTAAAGAACCTACACATTGATTGAGTTTCTTCCCTCTACTAGACTACTTGAGAGCAGCAATTTAGGTCTTGCTCATTTGCAATCCATAGGATCAAGTGTTAGTGCCTGACTCATAATAAATACCCAATAACTATTTGAATTAATTAGCTTATCTTGGTGGTCCTTTAAACTTTTTAAGTAACTTATTCAGCAAAGTCCTGAACACCTGAAAGAGTAGAGGAATTACTGTGTGTATATACTCTTCTAACAGTACTTTATAGCTAGCTTTTATTTTTAGAATGATTTTATTTTGAACATTGAAAAGGCAAGAGATAGGGATGATTCTATGAATTTTGCTGAAAACAGGTGGAAAGAATGAGTATACCAATGTCAGAATTAATCGACTTTCTATTTTCATGAGAAATCTGCTTCTGACACACCCTTGGGACTCAAGTGGAATAATGCCACAGAATTTGACTGAGTGGCAGTGAATAATTTGCCGAAATTTGCTGACATGCTTTTAAACGACTAAGAGATATAGTGCCTAAGATCAGACCCTAAGAGATGTTCTGTGTCAACCCTGACATGTTGGCCAACATCATGAATCCAGGCTTCTAGACCTTCACTTGGGTTCTTTTTTGCTAGTCATTCCCGATCTCTCTTAACAATGAACTGTTTCACTTATGCTTTGGCTGCTAGAGAAGTACGATTCCTCCTTTCAGGAGCTGTGGTGATGGTTTTCTCCTGTTATCCTTCTTTCTAGGTCTTCCCCTTCTAAATCCCAGTTGTTAGATGATAGGTGGTATGTGCACAGCCACTCACAGAGTCTTCAGAACAGAAACTGCCCGTCTCAAAAGGAGCTCGATAAAGTTGCTAAAGTGTTGGAGCAACAACTGATAAAGCCTGAAGCCCAAGGTATAATGAGCAATCTTATTTGCCACAACTAGATCTGGATAATATTTCATCTTTTCTGATGAAGAAAATACGTTTATTTTACTCTGAATCTTATCTAAAGATACTCTAGTTAATTAACTTTCAGACATACTAATATATCATGTTATATTTAAACAGATGCATCTGTTATATTTAAACCCATTTTTTAAAAAATAGTTTGAATGTTAATCCAAGTTTACTTGAAAATTATTGCAGTTGTTTATCTGTCTATACTGGTTTAACTCTAACAGTTTTGAAGATGAGAGTATCTTGGTGTGCTCTAGATACTTTAACAGTTAGATAAGAGTTCTAGGATAAAGTTTTAGGCCTGTTCTTTACTGAAAAATGAGTCAAATCTCCAAAGTAAGCTCTTATTTTATGAATTAATGAATATAAATGACTATACATTTTATGTCTTATAAATCACTTTAAATGAATGGTATGTTTTATGGCTTGTAAATCAAAGTTTTAATTAGTAAAGAAAGTTTTGAATTAATCCTCAAAAACACATTATCATAAAAGGTGTTCTTTGGCATCTAAATGTGGTTTTTGGCCATTTTAATTAGGGTCATTTTAGGAATCTCATTCTACTAAGCTGTGCTTACTTCCTGATGGAGTGACATTTTCTGAAATGTTTCAGAGATGGTCTCCTATTTTTAATTTGGTAATGATATCAGATGACTTATTAGATGAAGAAGGAAATGATATCATGAATGAAGAAATACAAATTGAGTATTTCTCATTTTTCAACCTTTTTTTCTTTCCTTTACTGAAGTGCTCTATCTATGTTCATTGCCAAACAGTTGGAGAATGTAGGAAATAAAAAAGAGATATTTAAACTAGATGAAATAAATGACCAAAATTATAGAAAGCAGGCCTTGTAATATTGGATTTAGTGGATTCTAAGACACAATTTTTTTTTTAAGATTCTGAAATAGAATAGCATCTTAAAATCAATGGCATTTAAATTTTGCTTTTATTTTTAATTGTGATAAAAACCATAACACAAAATTTACCATCTTACGTGTTTAAGTGTTCACTAGTATTAGTATTTCCATTGTGCAACAGATCTCTAGAGCTCGTTCATCTTGCAAAACTGAAACTATACCCTTTAAACAGCAACTCCCTATTCCCCTCTCCTACCCCCTAGCAACCACCATTCTACTTTCTAAGAGTTTGACTTCTTTTGACACCATGTAAATGGAATCATACAGTATTTGTTTTTTTTAGTGACTGACTTCTTTTACTTATAATGTCCTTAAGGTTCATCCATGCTTGTAGCATGAGACAGGATTTTCTTTTTCTAAGCTATCCATTCAGCATTTTCAAACCATTGTATGTATTTTCCACATTTTCTGTATCCATTCATCTATTGATAGACATTTGAGTTGTCCGTTCTTGGCTCTTGTGAATAATGTTGCAGTGAACATGGATGTGTGCATTTCTCCATTTTATTGTAATTAAATGTAATGGGTGAAGAGTACTCCATTGGAGTGGATGTGCTGTAATTTATTTAATCTATTATTGGACATTTAGGTTGTTCTTAATACTTTACTGTTATAAACAGTGTAGCACTGAACATTCCTATGACTAAACTTTTGCATACATCTTTGATTTCCTTAGGATACATTTCTAAAACTTGACTTTTTGACTAGAAATGTAAAAACATGCAAGGCTTTTGGAATATAATGCCAGTTGTCCTTTAGAAAAGTTATGCCACTTTGTACTTCCACTAACAGTGTATTAGTATACCCATTTTTCTCTTAACCTAACTTAATCTATCTTTTGATTCTCAGCAGACTAGATATTGTAATTCAAGATTCATTGTCATGTAGATTAAACTTCTTCCCCATTCCTTTCAGAGGGAACCCCTTACCTAGAGTCTGGAGTCAGCCTCTTCTCTGATGACCCTCAGTCTGATCCCTCTGAAGACAGAGCCCCAGAGCCGGCTTACGTTTGCAGCATGCCAGCTTCAACCTCTGCATTGAAGTTACCCCAATTTCAAGTTCAAGAATCTGCCAAGAGTCCAGCTGCTGCTCATACTAATACTGTTGGGTATAATGTGAGAGAAGAAAGTGTGAGCAAGAAACCAGAAGTGATATCTTCAACAAAAAGAGTAAACAAAAGAATATCTATGGTGGCATCAGGCTTGACCCACAAAGAATTTGTGAGTGTGTTCATATGTGTCTCCTTAATGGCTAAGACTTCATTAACATACTGCAGATAGTTTTAAATAGATACTAGCAATGAATAACCTACAGGAAGAAATCTAGGAAACAGACACAATTCTATGTAATTTAATTTCCATTACTGATTTCTGAAAAATTTGGACCTAGATAAAGCTAAAGCATGGTTTATTTTGTGTACATTCACTTAAGAAAACAATTATTAAATATTAATATTGGTTATAGTTTTGGGTATGATATAGAGCTTTTTATTTAAAATTTTCTTAATAAAACAAATAAGTATAGCTCTACTCCCCAGGAGGCCTCTTTTCCCCTTGGTTCATATCTGAGAGAACATACCAGCATGATTAACGAAATTTAAACTGGTTCCAAGCATACTGCCAGATAATGACATTTCTCCAGTGTATGTTTGCTTTATCCTGGCTTGTGACACAGTTATTCAGCATTCTGCCCCATAATTTCTGCTCTGCAGGACCCCTTCCCTATTAGGATTTTGACATCTCCTGGCCCCTCATGCCAGAAACAGGAATTGTTTCACACTGTGGAAAAATACCCATTAAAATATTAAGACTACTGAAACCTTGTTTAGTGTAGATTTCAGACATCTTAGAAAATTTTCCTTCCTTGTAATCAATCACCATTGGTATTACTTCATAATAAAATAATCAAGTGAATATTCCTTAAAGAATCATGGTAAGATAACACACCCAGAGTATCAAATGAATAGTGGGTGTCATTTATTACACACTGAGAGATGACCCAGTCATTCTTGAGTATCTGTTGATATATCCTTCCCAGGATAAGAACTATTTCTCATCTTAACTTCTCCATGGGTAGCAACTCAGCATAACATTCCCTGTGGCCAGATATGTGCCACTACTAAAAAGACAAAGTAAGCTATGTTTGCCCTAGTAGATATAATGAATATAAGTTCTCATCAATAATGCTAGAATTCTCATTTCACAACCTGGTACCCAGACCAGCTGTTTGCTCTGAAAATTCATACCTGTGTCTGTTTATGTTGCCCTCAATCATTTGCCTGCATATCTAGAATTCCCATTTATTCACTGAAAAATAGCATTTCTTCTTTGTTTTGTGAGTTCAGCTTTTCAGAGGTGGCTAAAATGATCTAATCATTTTTGCCATGGGTAATTCTGAGCTGCAGATTAGACTATAAGTGGCTTGGGTACATATTGTCTTTAAACAAGCAAAGAGGAAAACTTTTCAGCTCTATTCAGAATTGCTGGAGTGTGATAAATTTATTATGAAAGCTGCTGACTGTATTATACATGATTAATTCGGAAGCCCATATTAAGATGATCTTTTCATCAGCTGTTTTTCTAACTGAACACTGTTTCAAGGCTGGGATTTCAGCAATTAATCAGTTCAGAATTGCTAATGATCCTGGCAGAGGGCAGTGGCAAAAGGGGAAGGATGTCATTAGCTTCACTAGCCTGCTTTATTCAGTGCCCTGTGGCACTATGGAATAAGGCAGCATGAGAGAAAGATAACCTGATCTCCACTGCAGTATTGTACAGCACATAAATATTGGCTTGGGTGGCAATGGCTAATAAATGATGGCCCTTGGTAAACAGAGTTATTTACCAAACAGTAGCTACTAATTATGTCAACTGTGTCCATAATGGATCTTGTTAATTTCCTTTACTGCCTATTGATTTTTATTTGATTGATAGATAATAGCTAGAAGGCTCTAGATTTCTTTTGGGAGTAATATGAGTCTCCTCCAGTCCTTCTGAAGAGAAATGGATAGTTTCTGCACTCTTGACTTGAATGTTTTGTAACTATCAGAGGGTTGAATCTTATTTTTAAGCCACATATATGTAGCATAATTTTCTGTATAGGCTAGTAACCTCTTAGTTTATATAGTGTGGGCTGATAAATCTAAATTATGGTATAGTAGAGTATCACTACAAAGAAACTAGTTGTCTTAGGGAACCAAACGATATCTGCTCTTAAAGGGAAAATTATTATTTTGAATCTGTGGTTATAGTTCACGTCTGCTAACATGGACTACTTTAGAATTTCTTCATCTGATTTGTATATAATTTATATTAAATTGCTATTTATCTTGAGACTTCAGGCATCTTAGAATAAAAAGAATGTATCTTTTCAGAGGGAAAAAATGGAAACTAAGAGCTAGGATAACATACTCTAAGCTGTGCACTAGAGGTAATATATTATAATGTAATATTTGATTTGATTTCAGATGCTTGTACACAAGTTTGCCAGAAAACACCACATTACTTTAACTAATCTAATTACCGAAGAGACTACTCATGTCATTATGAAAACAGGTATGCCAAGAACCTTTATAGAATATATTGCATCTGTGGTATAACATTACATGAAGAAATGGGAGTATTTGTTAAGCATAGCAAGGATGTAAGTCTTCCAATAGTCGATTATTAACTCTCTGGGAATACGATGATCCACTCCAGGATGTTTCTGTTCACATTGCCACAGGTCTTTGAGCAGAGGGTCCAGACTCCTTGACAGGGGCACATTGCCTTAGAACCTCTAAGATGTTAGGTTTCTACTTCATACAGGTCATAACACAGAGTCAGAATAATACAGGAACTTGGTGCCAGAACAAGGTAGCATGAACAAAGTACTATTTTAGAAATAAATTTCATTAAAGTTTAATATATCTTAAGCTATAGATTTGGAACAAAACTGCTGGAAGGCGAAAAGGAAAGTAAAATGTAAATTAAATCTAAAGTAATTCAACCTTTAAACTCAAAGGCAATACAACACTTTTGAGCTAAAATTTATGAGTTTAAAATATATTGAATCAACTTTCACAGAAGTTAACATAAGCTATAAAATTGTGATGAAAGAAAAAAGATTTTAATAATTCGTGAAGAATTCTGTGAGGGGGAATGGCTGTTGCTATTACTGGCAGATGGCCTACTGTGTTCAGGATTTAGTTAAATACATTTCTCCTGTTTACAATTAAGTGTTCTTTCCTCAGTTTGCTTAGTTCTTCAATGAGATCTTTAAAACACTAGGAAATAAGTGATTCTTCAACTACTGCTTTCTGAAGTAGTATATAGAAAGGAGAAAAGCTATGAAAATACTCAGTATTTTTCTGTCACGCTCAAGGGAATTAGGAATTAAAGGGGTTAGAATTCCACAGGTAGAAGTTCTGAGGGTGAAAATTTGTCACTTACATTGACTTTTCAGATATAGCATTTCAACAATACTGTTTTCTCCTTCCACATATTGCCATCCAGTAAAATCTTCCCCACACACTTATATCGACATTACTGATGTGGATAATTTCTTGAACACAATGATGAACATCTGTAGGTAGTTTTGGCATCTAGATGATAGGGCATACATTTCCTCTGGTTTTAACTTTATATCAGCCTTTTCCAGGCCTCCAAAGATCCACACCTGCTGGTTGTAATTAGGGGTGCTTCCAGCTTCTGATTCTATCACCAGGGATGTTGGAGTCATCCATCCAGGTTGACTTCAAGTAACATGGATCTGGAGTTCTTTAGCTTCTATGGCAGCACTTCCTGACCTTGTTTTCAACTTGTGCTAATTCTTTGGATGTTTTTCATTCTGCAGACACCGAGTTTGTATGTGAACGGACACTGAAATATTTTCTGGGAATTGCAGGAGGAAAGTGGGTAGTTAGCTATTTCTGTAAGTACAATGTATTTCTCCTTTCCTTTAACACCTCAGAATTGCAATTTTACACCTAACATTTAACACCGAAGGTTTTTGCTGATGTGGAATCTGAATTACCAAAGGTCTTTAATGATAACACTAAACTAGCTGGTCATGCTGGGGAAATGGATTTCTTTTTATAACTAAGGGAACCTAGTCTGCTCCTAGCAATGTTAGCAATAGGAACTAGACATTTATTTAACAGTAGTGCAGAAATCTATGTGCAGCAGGCACTTTTATAATATTTAGATTAAGCATCAACTGTGTCTCCAGAAGAAAATCTCTGCTACAAGCCTTATTAAGGACTGGCTTTATAGGGGGGACCTCTACTCAATGTTATTCCTCCTGTACGCTTATGCGAATTACTTCACCGTCCACCTACACGAAAAGAGCATGTTCTTCTGCATTGTGACTTGTCTTTTCTGTGATCTCTTTAGGGGTGACCCAGTCTGTTAAAGAAAGAAAGATTCTAGATGAGGTAGGTATTTGATGTTACAAACCAATCAAAAAGCCTTGGTGCAGATGAGTCACATAATCATTGGAAATTTAGCTGCTTCCTTCCTCACACTACTTACCCCAGATTTTCTTTGATGATGGAGTTTATCAAGAGTTAAGCAGAACAAACCCAGAAATTGTGTTTCTCACTCATTTGTTCTAAGTTTCAATAGAAACAAGCCTTTCTTAGGAAGAAGGAAAAGGAGTTTATAAAGGGGAAAAAAAAAAAGATTGATAAGCAAAAGAAGTAAGCCCACCTAAATCTTACATGCATACAAATACACCTTTATAGAGAACTGATTGTTCACTGTTAAAGAAAAATTGTTCCTATTAATATGCAAATGTATCTGTTTAGAAATCAGATTCCTTCAGAGAGATATTACTCTTTATGATACTGAGAACAGTGAGAGGTAATTGAGTGTAGGAGGAGGAATAATTTTAGAACAGAACTATCTAAGAGCTGCTGGTGACAACAGATCAGGCAATATAAAATTAGCAAAAGTGATTTTAAACTATTTTGTACTTTTTAACATTCATAATTAAGTGACATTTTTGTTGATTTTAACTTTCATTCAGTGACCTATATTTTTTGGAGCCTACTATATGCTAGGTACCAGGAATGCAGTAGTAAACAAGACTGACAGGTCCCTACTTTAGTGGGATTCTTGTCCTATTCAGGGAAAATACACAAGAATAAAGATCACTTAAAATAACAATAAATACTATGAAGAAATATACAGAATAGCAGAGAGTAATTGAGGACAGAGGTTGACTACTTTAAGGAGACCAGGGATGGCTTCCAAAATGCTTAAGATGAGATTAAAACATAAGAAAGAATTGGCATTGAAAAATGTACGTAACAAGTGTTTTAGGCAGAGGAATAGCAAGTATAAAAGTCTTGAGGTAGAAATGAGCTTGTTAAAGAAAAATAGACTAGTGTAGATGGAGAGTAATAACCAGTGAGTAATATGTAGGGAGCAGAGATTAGACAAGGGGTTGGAGAAAGTCAGAGACAAGTGCCAAAGCCGGTAGGATTTGGTGTAAGTCATTGTAAGGAGTTTGAATTATCTACATAAGGTAATTGAAGACATAGCGATGATAAGAAGAGGTTGGTTTAAGATATATTTGGAGCTAGGACTTACTAATGGGTTAAATTTGGAGGACGAGGTAAAGAGAATAATTGAGAAGGTGATGCTTAGGATTTTGGCCTGAACAATAGAGTGGATATTAGTAATATTAGATAAGGAAGATAGTTGGAGAGGGGAAGGGCAGGAGTAGAATCAAAAGCTTTGTTTTAGATGGGTGAATTTTGGGATTTAATACTAAGAATCTGAGTAGAGAGGTTAAGGAGGCACAGGGGTATAATCAGGACTATAAATTTGAGGGTTATCTTTAAATAGATTACATATTTATCACTGGATTCCTCTCAGGTGACTGGGAAATATTAAGTGGTCTTTCCCCTAACAGCAGCCTGTGGTTATACTATCATGACTATTTTTCCTTCTTAATACTCTTGGCAACAGATGTGGTCTTCCTACAATCTGAGTTTCAGTCAGAATGGTTTCTAAGCATTCTTCCCCAGGTTTCTCCCAAAAGATGTAACCTCCCCAATCCCATTGTTCTTCATTTTCTTGTCCTTGACCAGTCAAAATAGTAATTATGAAAAACCTCTTTCTTCAGTGTATTAAATGTATATTTTATCATTTTGATTTCATTAACTAAATCTCTCAATGAAAATCTGAGAGGCCTTTAGATGGTAATCCACAATTGATTTAAGAGGTCAGAAATTCTCCAGTTATCTTTATAACAGTACAGCATTAGCAATTTAATCTAAATGCTAAGTGAATGTTTTGAGAGGAGATAAATGTTGAAAATTAAAATGCATTAAGTCCCAGTGAGGTGAAAAGCCAATTGTTAATTTCTGCCCACAAAGATTTGCTTCAGGGAATTGATTTCAGCAGCTGAGATACTGGTCATTTCATCCAGTCCACCAAAAAGAATTATTTATGGGGTAGGGGGAGAGTAGGGTCAAAACCTTGCCTGGCAGTACTGAATTCCTTAAATAAAACACATGTACAGTACTGCTTCCATTGAAAGAGGCCTCTCTTCCTCTGATCCCTGTGGTTTGGGTTTGGTTTCTTTTAGCATGATTTTGAAGTCAGAGGTGATGTTGTCAATGGAAGGAACCACCAAGGTCCAAAGCGAGCAAGAGAATCCCAGGACAGAAAGGTAAGGCCCTCCTCCCCAACATTGACAAAAAACCCCTCTGTGTTCCAGCCCCCTTCTCAGAGATGGTCTCACTCATCTTGTAAGGGGCATTACATACTCACTGCTAGAGCAGTAGCTAGGTGCTTCCATGTGTGTTCCTTTTTAGTTCTCCTAGGCCAACAAGGTAAATAAGTATTATCTCCATTTTATGACTGAGGGAACTTAGAAGCTTAGAGGAGCAAGCTAATTTGGTCCAGTCTAGAGTTCAAATCTCAGCTGATAAGTGGCAGAGCTGGGATTTGAAACATATGTGAATCTAAGCCTTGTTCTTTCCACTTCACCATGATGTCTTTCTCGAAAGCAGTGTGATAAGTGCTGTGAAGGGGATGTACACAGTGTTGTCTGTGGGTGTATAGAAGTGAAAGTGATTGATACTCAATAGCTAACATCTGCATTATGTTCACTATAGCCAGCTTTAAACACTCAACCATATTTTAACTGATTAATAATTTTACAGCAACTTTATGAGACATGTACTATAATTATGCCTATTTTATACATGAGAAAATTGAGGTTGAGAGAGGTTGAGTAATTGTCCAAGCTTACACAGCTAGTTGTGAACTCACAACTAGAAGTTGAACCCAGCCAGTCTAGCTCTAGAATCTGAGCTCTTAATTACAATACCGTAGTTTCTTGGAAAGTTAGAGGAGGTTTCGCTGAGGAGAAAAAGATTATTCTGACATTTTTTGAAAATGAAGGACTAGAGGCCTGGAAAGACTCAGTGACTTTCCCCAGATCATCCTGTAGCAAAAACTAAGAGATAACCAAAACTGTGCTCTGCTGTCAGGGAGAAGTCCAGGCAAGATTTCACATGTGTGTGTCAGGCCTGAGCCAGCTGCTTTCGCAGGTCCCTGACTGAGTGCTTCTGCTCCTGGTCTGCATTTCTTTCTAAGTGTGCACCACATTTCAGGACAACCCCATATGGGGCACCTTCTGTCCCTGTATAGAACTTGAGAGGAAACACATAGAGATGATTGTCCAAGGAAAACTGCTGTGGAATATGATCACAAATCAAGTCCTGGAGCTCTGAACCCTTGGGGTCACCCCAGCCACACCCCTCTGAACCTGACAAGTAACTTTGAAATGCCAAGAAAAGCTGCTGGCCCTATTTCTGCTTCTGTCTTCACCCCAGGGGAGCTTGTGTGATCCAGCCATTTGTATATGCAAGGCAGAATTAGCACCAGATTCTTCCCTCCGTCACTACATTGTTCCTGAGGAAACAGTGGGCATTCTCAGAGCAGTATGAATGCAGGAACAGATGCTTGGGACCAGAAAGAAGAGAAAAGGAGCGTGTACATACAAATGTAGACCTCTCTGCCAGTCAGGGTCATGGCTAGTACTAATGTACCACGTCTAGATAAACATGAAATGCTAGGTAATAGCTGTTTGGAGTTTTTTCCTGCATTTGGGGTGGCAGTGATGGAAAGTACCTGGTCAGAGTAATGACATTCTAAAGATACAAAATCTCACCATAGTATTTTCCTGTGGAAGAGAAATATATTTGTAGAGGTGAAACTTCAGATTTCTTATGTCATAACTAGCGATTCTCCTCAATGAGCGTCAGCCCAAATATAAAAATTTCTAATCCTTTGCACTTTTTACAGCAACATTTGGCTCCAGCTGACTGCTTGGGGAGAACTTTTAGCATTATGGGCATCTAAGTCCTGTCAACAGGTTAAGGATGCAGTTTATTCACACAGCGAGAATGGCACTTAAAAATAGATTTCTCTTGCTGTCCTTTCTCATTCCTCTGACTGTAGTTTGGGGTAGGGGAGTGTTGGGGGGCACTTCCTAAAAGGTAGTCATGTGCTTTTAGCTTCACAATTTTTCTCTTCCCCAGTCTCTCTGATTTGAAGCAAGGTGAGTTCTAGGCCGAGGCAATTTTCTTTCCAGTGGAAATGGGAAGAAAGAAAGAGGGTCAAGAGAAGGAGGGTTACTCTAATGATATATATCCAGCCAACTGGCACAAATTTAGATTTCTTTTAAATGATACCCAAGTCATTTCCTAAAAACCAAAACCAATGCATTTGTAAGAATTTGCCTATCGAACACAGCAGCCACCAGCCAACCACATAGGGCTGTTTAAATTTTAAATAACTAAAATTAAATAAAATATGAAGTTTAGTTTCTCATTCATCCTAACCACATTTCAGTAGCTGCATGTGACTCATGGCTACCTTATTAATACAAATATAGAACATTTCCATCATCGCAGAAAGATCTTCTGGATAGTGCTATTGAGCCCTGTAGGTGGAAGAGGCCCTCTAGGGGGTCCAGTGTGATCTGTGTCTCCTGGAAACCAGGCATTAAGGTCAGCTCTGTAAGGAGAGGCAGAACCAGGCGTCACTACATTGTTCCTGAGGAAACAGTGGGCATTCTCAGAGCAGTATGAATGCAGGAACAGATGCTTGGGACCAGAAAGAAGAGAAAAGGAGCGTGTACATACAAATGTAGACCTCTCTGCCAGTCAGGGTCATGGCTAGTACTAATGTACCACGTCTAGATAAACATGAAATGCTAGCTAATAGCTGAATTTCTTGCTATTAAAAAAAAGGACCTTTTTTTATCTTCTCATCTCTAACAAGAAGTTAAATCACCTGGAAAAGGTTATCAGGATGGAGCCTGGGCCTGACTGGTGGCAAGGGGGTATGCTCAGCCCTTGAATGACAAAGTACGACTATAGATAAACGACACACACTTCAGAAACATCTTCTAAAATCCACCAGTGTTCTGGACATGGGACTGAGAGTCTTTTTATATTGTTTTTTATAAAACCCACACTCTTACAACTAGTGTTTCTTTCTCTCCATCCCTCTGTCCCTCTCTTCTCCCAGATCTTCAGGGGCCTAGAAATCTGTTGCTACGGACCTTTTACCAACATGCCCACAGGTAAGAGACTGGGAGAACTGCAGAGTCCAGCACCAGCCTTTCCCTTACATAGTGGAGTTTTATATAGGAGGGGTCATCTCATCGGGGTTCTTCAGATTGGTGAGAGATTATATTCTCTGCCACCTGTCAGACAAAACCACACCTAAATGTTACCCTGTCAGAAAAAAAAACAGCCCTGTGCTCCTTCTCAAGAGCTGGAAGGCAGTGAAGAATTAACATCTAGGACACAGTATGTTATGTGATCAGATGGGATAGAACTGCTCTTACTGCCCTTTGGTCTAAGAAAAGGGGAAAATAAGAAGGGAGAGAGTTCTGCTCTTCCTAAACCATCTTTATTTGATACAGAGAAGAAAGCTCAGCAGCTGCATAAGCCCTGTGAGCCTGGGGCCTCAGAGCAGGGGAAGACTCTTGATGAACATTTTCTAATTAAATTTGACACTGAATGTGATTAGGAGTGCTGTAGGCCTCAACTCGAGGCTCTGGTATGTATGTAGATTCGGTTCTTTCTTTTTAAGACAAAGGCTCCCTACCTTTGCCTCTTTGCTCACTTCTGCCCCAGGGATCAGGTCCTCTTACTCCTCAGAAGACAGCCTTGGCATCTGGTCAGGGACATATGAGTGGCAGCAAGAGAGCCTGACAAAGTAATTTTGCTTATGTCTTCTTTATTGGTTATGGATTGAATTTTTATGCAACTTTCACATACCACTCAAGGATTTCTCAATGTTTTTGTACTTCAGTGTAATGAAAACCAGAGTCTCTAGCAGGTATCATTTTGGAGGTGAGTCAGTTGACCTCACTGCACTCAGACAAACAGGAACACCTCAGCAATTTCCAGGAATCGGTTGATAGAATAGAGTACCCAAAAGGGCCCAGAAACCACTCGTTGGTCAGTTCTGCTGATTTTCCAGGTGCAAGTGGAACATTTCTACAATCTCTCCTGGTTTCTAGGCCCCCGAGTACGTCGAATCCAGCTCAGCATGTAGCCTTTCTCAGCTGATATGTTGAGTCTCTGTCCCGGAGGAAAAGTATTTTTTTTGGCTGAATAAATGATCTTCCCGTCTCTTGACATTTATAGTAATTATCACCGAGCATGGTGCTCTCAGTGGCTGTGATTATCAATTACCAACACAGAATTAGGCAAGGAGGGATGGAAGGCAGGTGTGAGTTTTTTTTTCGTAGTATCTTGCCAGCAGTTTAACAAATTAATAGAAATTAGATCTTGTATTTTCTTTTTTCTTTCAAAATATTTTGAGAGACTATTAAACCTTATCTACCAAGCAGCCTTATGGGGACTGATAACCAAAGTAAGTAGCATATCAGTGGCAAATTGACTTAAAATTCGTACCCCTACTGTAGATTGTAGTTTAAGGCCTTTCTGTCCCTTTGGGGCAGAGAGACAGGAACTCCCACTGAGACATCTTGCTGTAAACCTTCGTTGAGAGGAATATGGGGCAGAGGGCCCAGGTTAAATGTGCAGATTACTGTGGTGATTTTGGTTCAAATATCCTATTTAGATCAACTAGAATGGATGGTGCAGCTCTGTGGGGCTTCTGTGGTGAAGGAGCCTTCATCATTCACCCTCGGCGAGGTAAGCATTTGGTCCTCCTGTCAGAGAGGGAGGACACAGTGTTAATATTCTTTCCGGTGATTGAGCAAGGCATCACCTATCTGTCCTTATGAGCCACCACCTCCCCAGTGTAGCCTCAGAAGCCTCTCTTCACCATGAGCCTCCTCTGACCACGTACCTGTGCCAGAAGACTCTCTCTGTAAAGGATCTAAGTATGTAATGTTCTGAGGGAAGGCTCTTGCCCTCTATCCCTTCCTTTTTGCTCTGTGCCCTTCTTCCTTTCTGTGGTTGCCCCAGAGTAGTCTACTTCAGCAAACCATCAAGAGGTGATGAAGTGACTATTCTAAAAGTCCTGTTCTGATACCCGTAATATTTCTTTCCCGGGGATGCAGGATACTCACCCAGTTGTGGTTGTGCAGCCAGATGCCTGGACAGAGGACGGTGGCTTCCATGGTAAGTCTTGCTGTAAGCCTTTATCGAGAGGAGTATGGGGTAGAGGGCCCAGGTTAAGTGTATAGATTACTGTGGTGATTTTAGGTGTAAAGGTCCTGTTAGATCAACTAGAGTGTATGATACAGCTGTTTGGGCCTTCAGAAGGCCACGAGCATGTACTTGTGTCATATGGGGTTCTGCAGGATGAGTTTGGTTCACCAGTTTACCCAGTGCTTAATTAACGTAGCTCTCAGCACATTCTGGGTGCTCAATAAATACTGGATAGATGGATGGATGGATGGGTGGCTGGCTGGCTGGCTGGCTGGCTGGCTGGCTAGCTAGCTAGCTAGCTCGCTAGCTAGCTAGCTAAAATGTCCTTTTAAAACTTTTTATTTTGCATTGTAAAAGTAATGCATGAACTATTACCATGGAGGGAGGGTATTAAATATGAATGTTCATCACAGAAAATAGAAACGAGTACAAACACAATAAAAGAATTTCAGTAATCTCACCACTTGGAGATGATCACCATAAAATTTTTCCAAGCACGTGTGTATGTATATGTACACTCATAGATTTTATACAGATGTCATCATGCTCATCATACTGTTTTGCTTTTTCACTCATGATATTACAAATATGTTTTCACATCGTTAAATTGCAATGCTGTTTTGCTGTCTCTGGTGACTTTTCCTTTAACAGTTATCAGAAGCTGTAGGCTTCTACCAGCAGTCACTTCTCAGGCTTATGAATAAAGTCTTATGTCTTAAAGTATCACTTAAGAGCAAAAATTTGCTCCCACCTGAGTAACCCTAAGAACTCATATAGCCAGGTCCCCAGAGTACATTGACTAGAGTCTGGTCAGGGAAAATGTAATTTGACACTAATCTCTGCTTGCATTCTCTGTCCTCAGCGATTGGGCAGATGTGTGAGGCACCTGTGGTGACCCGAGAATGGGTGTTGGACAGCGTAGCCCTCTACCAGTGCCAGGAGCTGAACACCTACCTGATACCCCAGATCTCCTAGAGCTGCTGTTGAGTCCAGCCAGCCATGTGTCTAGTGTATAGGGCCTGTCTCTACAGGACCCCAAGAACGAGCTTCAGGAATGGCCTTTTGCCAGGCCCTGGGAGTTCCTCTTCAGTCCTTCCACAGTTCTGGTTACTAAATATTTTATGTATGTCAGCCTAGAAAGAACTTCAGGCTATGCAAGGGTCCCTTAAAGATTTTCTGTTTCAAGTCTCCCTTTGAAATCTGCCATGAGCACAAAATTGTGGTAATTTTTCACCTGAAAAGAATTTAAAACCATTTTAAACACCACCAATTGAGCAAGATGCTGATTCATTATTTATCAGCCCTATCCCTTGTACTGGGGCTGTCGGCTTAAAGCTGGAAGCACAGAGTGGCTGGCCTCAGGAGAATAGATGGTCTCCCTGAGTTTGTTTCTCTAAAGCCTCGCATTCATAAAGGCCAAGAGTCAGACCCTTCAACGGAAGGTGAGTACTTAGGAGGGTATGTGATGTGACTTAAAAGCAGAACAGTCCTTGGGCAGCTCTCGAATGTTGGAATGGAGCACCGGGAAAGGAATTCAGAAGCAGGCAGTAGATATAAATATGAAACTTGAGAGTAATTAGAGGAGAGGGGAGCCATGCTGGCCCCAATCTCTAAAAGTCTGGTCAAGAACTGGAGTCCAAAGAGAGTCTTCTAATTTCTTATTAGTAATAAGTAAGATGTTTATTGTTGTAGCTCTGTTATGTAACCTATTCCTCTTGAAATGTAAGATCTCTGATATGAATATTTCCTGTCTATAAAATGACAGATTCCACCAGGAAAGGAGCTGTTGCTTTCCTTGAGGTAATTTTTTCTTCGCTCCCTGTTGCTGAACTGTACAGCTTCATAAATAATTTTGTTTGCTGAAGGAAGAGAAAATGTTTTTCATAAACTCATTATCCAGGACTGCTTATAGCTGTTGGAAGGATTAGGTCTTCCTTAGCCCCCCAGTATATGAGGGCAGTGCACACTGGATTGTACAAAATATGTTTGTAAATGTTGGCTTTTCACCTGCAAATAAACTTGGTAGCAAACACTTCTATCACGTGATTGTTTTTCCTTTTTAAAAAAATTTTCCGTTAGAGTTGACATTCAGTATTATTTTTTGTGAGTTCCAGGTGTACAACATAGTGGTTAGACATTTATGTAATTTATGAAGTGGTCCCCCCGATTAGTACTCACTGTGCATAGTTATTACAGTATTATTGACTGTATCCCCTCTGCGGTACTTTATGTCCTCGTGCACACGACTGTTCTTGAGTCTCATACCTGCAGAGCTCTCAGAGCCTTTTCACTCTGCTTTCGTCTCCTTGTCTATAAAATGGGGGTAGTAACAGTACCTACCTCCTAGGGTATTAAGGAGACTTCACAACCTACTGTATTAGTTTCTATTGCTGCCAAACAAATTGTCACAAATCTGAGGGCTTAAAACAGTGCCCATTTATTATGTCACAGTTCTGTAGGTCAGAAGTCTAAGTCGGCTCAACTGGTTTCCTTGTTTTGGGTTTCACAAGGCCAAAACTAAGGTGTCCGCAAGGCTGTGTTCCTTTTTAGAGGAATGAAGCCACTTCCAAGCTCATTTCCTGTTGTTGGCCAAATTGTTCCTCAAAGTTGTAGGACTAAGATCTCTGTGACCTCTCTTGGCCAGAGGTCATCCATAGCTTCTAGAGGCCACCCACATTCCTAGGCTCATGATTCTCTACCACCATCTTCAAAGCTGGCAAGGGCTGTTCGAATCTTTCTCACATTTAGACTCTCATTTCCCCCTCTGCCTCATCTCTCTTAACTCCTGCCAGAGAAATTTCTGTTTTTAAGGGCTCAAGTGATTAGATTGTGCCTGCCAGGTAATCCAGGGTGACCTCCCTATCTTACGGTCCTTAACCTTAATTGAAGCTGCAAAGCCCCTTCACAGCAGTACCTACATTCCTGTTTGATTTAATAATCAAGGGACAGAAGTCCAGGGAAGACAGCTTTAGAATTCTGACAACTACTCCTATTTAATATGCTTAATCCACAGATAAAAGTTCGTGTCATCACTTTTTGGTCTTTACACTGTTCAGAGATTGGAATTCTCTTTGAGGCAGAGAGAATGAAATCATGATTCGGTGCTACCATACTTGTAAGAGGGGTGGGTGGGTGAGGGAAGAGTAGAGAGAATGGAACTAACTGCCATTATTACATTTCTATCTCATTTAGTCTTCATTACAGTTCTATGAAGTGGGTATTTGACAACTCATTTGAAGAATGAGAACTGAAAAGAATGTTTTTGCTCAGTTGGCACAGCTAGTAAATGATGACCCGGAGATCTGAACCTATGCCCTTTCCATCCCATCATTCAGCTTTCCACCTGCATTAGTCACTGACCTCAGGTCAGAAGACACACTGCTTCAAGCCTCAAGGGAATTTGGGGAGAGGAGTGGGTTGTAAAGGGAACTAGCACTCTTGCTGCTTTCGTGGGCCAATAGAAGCTGCCTACCTCCAAGTGGCAGCGCTGCCTGGGAAACAGCCCTAGGCAAAGGATCATGGCTACTCCTATTTCCGCTCACATCCAGCCTCCCAGCTTATGATTGCTTATCTTTCAGTTGTCAAAGCTTTCCAGTTCAGTCTGGCTTACAGCCAGGGAGTCATGGGTCTCAGTGTTAGCAGTAAAGGCAGGCCAGAAACAAGTGCCTCACACCCAGTCCTTAGTCAAAAGTGTTTCATTTCCAGTTATAAGCCATGGCTTACCGGACCCTGGGGGTGAGCCAGGCCTCAGCCTACTGCCCTCATCACTGATGAGTTAATAGAAAAAGCAACATCTATCTAGCACAGCCTGCCTTCCTAGGAATCCTGGGTGAAAGTAAAGATGACTAAGACACATTAAAACATTTTCTGTGATTGTCACTCAAAGTCCCCCAACAGTAGTCCACCCCATCTGTTTTTTGAGCTCTTTGTAACCTTTCCTGAAAGTCAACTTCTAGCCTTGGCCTCATGATGCTTGGCTGGGTTTAAGAGTCTTAACTAATGATGGAGTAGATCTACTTGTTCCTTTTACCTCTGGCTTTAAGATGTCCTCTCACATTTTTCCATCTCACAGTCTTCAGTCCTCTCTGGGCACAGCAGCATTTAGGGAACTAGTTTCTGTACTGCCTTTATCTTATTTCAGGAAATGAACTTCTGCAAAGGAGCTGAAAGGAAGAGGAGGGATTATCATGCAGGCACAGGGAGGGGCCTAGAGAAGAGCTTGGTAGATTATCTGCCTCCTGAAAAATGCAACCAGAATCACCAACAAAGTATCGGCTCAAATACATGCAGGAGAAAAAGAAAAGAATGTTGGGGTGGTTAGAGTGGAAGGAGCCAAGCTGCCCAGAGTGTATCCTGTGAGGAGCAGATAAGGCAGGGTGAGGGGGAGCTGCAGATCTCCCCACAGAGACTCCAGAGAGAATGAGGTTAGCTAGCCAGACACCATGAGAGCTTGCTTATCAAAGCCTGTAAAACGGCTGAGCCAGAGGCCCCGTTACCTGATGTTTAGCTCCCCCAAGCAGCCTGTAAATCTGCCCATAACAAGGAGAAAATCAAAGAAATGAATCTGGGCAAATAGAAAAAAGGAGAACTAGAGATAGCCAGGTCCTGTGGAGAGCAGGGATTGGGGAGGTGTAGAGATAGCTGATCCTGAAATGAGTCTGAATGATCAAGAAAATCTAAGTAATGGTTTGAGGGGCTAGAGAACTGGACAGACTCCCCTCATATTATGGGGGCCAGAGAACAAGAACTTTGGGGTCCTAGTTTCAGGGACCTGAAATAATAAAGCAGCTTAGTATGCAACATAGTGCAATGATTCTCAAACCATGGTCTCCTTATGGGGAAGGGGAGCAGTAACATCATCTAGGAACTTGTTAGATATGTATATCCTGTGGCCTCAGTTTACAGAATCAGAAACTGAGTAGGTCCCAGCAGTCTGATTCTGAAGCAAGCTCAAGTTTGAGAACCACTGGCTTAGTGAGGAGTATAAAGTGTTACCTGTGGTCTGTTTGTCTCCAGGAGAGGTGAATCTTGGGGCTGTTAAGAAAAAAATAGGTTTACGGCTGGTTAGTGTTTCTTATCTACAAGGTTGCAGCAGCTGGCTTCAGTTGAATCCAGAATGGCCCTTTAAACAAATACGAAACAAAGGACAAAGACTACTAGCAACCTAGGAGAGGAAGGGCCAGACTGCTTTAAAAAACAGCTAGAGGTTTAGGAGGTTTTATTAATATTTAAATTGCAGTGAAACCACAGCTGCAGCCTTTGACTCCAGCATAGAGATATGCAAATTCAGCTTTCTAAAGAAAGGCAATTACAGACAGCCCTCAAGGTAACAAGAACAAATAAAACAAATTATTTTGTAATTTATTTTTATTGACTGATGGAAAGCAAGGCACAGACAACCTGCCCATCGACAGCTACCAACGGGCTCTCTGAGGGGAGAAGAGAAAGGTGGCCTAGAGGGAGAAAGGCAGGCAGACCCACAGACCGGTGACAGGAAATACCCAAAGAGAGCAAAGCAGGAGGCAGGTGGGAGAAGATGACTAAATTAGAAAGGAAGGAAAATGGAAACCCAGGTCTGGGTTCTCAGGACTATCTAATCTTGCTGGCTCTCAGGAGCAACAACAATAATAATCATTAAAGACTGTCATTTGCCACACTCAAGTGCCATGTACTATTCCCAACATACAAAGGAGGAAAGTGATGCCTTGAGAGGTCAAGCAACTTGCCCAAGGTCACACAATAAAAGGTGGCAAAGCCTTGATTCAAACAAAGATTTGTGTGAAGCTAAGTTGTGTCCTAGGATGTGGGTAAGGATTGAGGAAAGACTATGTGCCCACTTCTGTGGTAGCCTCAGTGTGTGTGTGTGTGTGTGTGTGTGTGTGTGTGTGTGTGTGCGCACGCGCGCGTACTAGGGTTGTGGAAGGGAGGGAGAAAAGATCCATTTCTAGCCTTCCAATTGCTTACTATTCAATGGATGAGGCAAGAAAGCAATAGAAAACTTGCAGAATTGTGCCTTTGGTTCAGAAGCCCTCTTGGAGGCTGTGTGGTGGGGTTAGGTTCTGCTTGCTATGGGAGATGCGAGGGAGCTGATCCTGAAATGAGTCTGAATGATGAGGAAAATCTAAGTAAAGGTTTACATAATGGTCTGCCTGTTATGGGGAGGCCTCTGGGAAAGCTGGCCCTTGGAGCTTGGGTAGGATTTGGCCAGGTGAAAAAAGAAGCCAGGAGATTTTAGAGTCCCAGCTGCCAGAATTGGGGGAAAGAGCACCTGATCCAGAAAGAGAAGAGATGGGACAGTCTTCTAAGGATACCTTTCTCTGACCCACCCACCCAGTCTCTCCAGATCTTCCATCCCAAGCCCAAACTCAATCTGTCCATGCTTTGCCTGCTGCTCCCTTTCAGGCATCCTGACCAATAAATACGAGGGCCCACAGGTTTTGCTCAAACTGCATCTTGTATTGAGCCAGTTCTGCTCTGGGATTGTGGTAGCGGAGGCTGAGCTAACCGCTTCCTGGGACAGTTAAAAGTTATTCACTTTCCATACCAATCAAAATACACTTTCCTTATATAGGAAGAACATGCAAGTCTGTAAATATGGGGAAATAAGAGACGTGTATAAAAGGAAAAGCCCTGCTGTGATCTGGGCTCAGCCTTTGGACGCGAATCCACTGAGCCCCGTGCCGGCACCAATAAACGCTACTTCCTGCTTATTGCCTCGGTGTCCTGTCTCTCTGCTGAGTATCCTGCAACACTGTCTCAGTCCCGAATCCTGTCCACCCCACCTCCTTCACCAAGCCTACCTCAGGTCTTCAGGCCAGATTCTCTCCCCACTCAGAACACCTCAGAATTTTTGCTTTATTTATGACAACTTTTCCTTCAATAAGTTATTTCTCTATTTGACTAGAAGATCCTTATGGGCAGGATTAGTATCATTTTATCTTTGTTGTAACCTAGCTGTGTGCCTGACATATACCCAATGAGTATTTGCTGAATTAATAAGTGAAAGGATGAATGATCTCACTGAGTGAAGTGTTTGTC